TCCTCCCCCCACTGCCCAGATGACCCCCAGAGTATGGCCTGTCCTCCCACTACTGCCCAGACGACCCCCAGCACTGGTGCCCTCACCTGCAGTGCTCTCAGCCAGCAGCTGGAAGGCAGCATTTCTAGGAAGAAATCTTCCAAGAGCCTTCTCTGACACCAAACAAGCCCAACTCCCAACCTTCGCTCCCCTCCACTCTGCCCCAGAGAATTCACCATGCCTTCTCTGGGTACTTTTGTACCAAGTCCACACTTCACTGTGGTACCACTGATTACACTAAGATATAATGATTCCCTTGTTGTCTATTTTCCTATCCAAGAGGTCTATGGACGAGACTGGACTCTGGGAGCAGCAGTACCAAACCAGTGTGTGTGTGTGTTTAGGGGGCAGGTGTAGGGCCCTGCGGGGAGTAGGGACAGAACAGGGGCCTCAGAGGGAGAGCTGGCACCTGTAGTCCCGGAACGTGTAGGCCGGTGGCTCCTTGACGCACACGAGGGCCTCGGCGTTCAGGATGCAGTTGTCCACGTGGACTGGGTGGCTACTGTCCTTCCTCTCAGCCTGTGACTCTGCGGCCAAGGTAACCACGTTAGCACTGGGGCAACTCAGGGAACACCGCAGCCCCCCTACTGGCACGGTAAGGGGTGCTTCCCAAAATGTATCAGGGTCTAAGGCTTAAATGTCCTCCCATTACCCCCATACACTCCAAAAACTCCTATTCATCCTGCAAAACTGCCATCACCTCCTCTCGGAAGCCTTCCAGACTCCCCAGGTAGATTGACTGTAACTTCCTCTGTGCTACTGTCACTTCTCACACTGGATTGCCAGTTACTTGTTTATGTTCGGCTCCCTGACTGGAATGAAAGGGACTGAATCCTGTTCTTCTCCATGTCTCAGCATCTAGCACAGTGCCCGGTGCACAGCCTGTGCTCAGTGATGCTGTGGGTGAGGAGGCCCACCTTCGATCGCAGTGCGGCACACCAGGTGGGAGTAGGAGAAGTAGAGGGGTGTGTCCAGGCGGAAGTAGGACTCCATGACGCGTCGTACCTTCTCGGTCACGTTGTAGTATAGGTGGGCACTCTGAAGGGGAACTTTCCCTTCCTGTCCCAGCTGCCAAGGAGACCAGAGGTCAGCTGCCCCCGACTGCCCCTCTCCAGGCATCAGACCCCACTCCTTGTCCCCCTGTGGAAAGAGCAGTCTCTGCTTCCCACACACAGCACCCTGACCACATCGCCCTTCCCCGCTCCTTCACGTTTCATGAAGGACCGTGCATCCTGCTCAGAATTACAACCCATGGAATCAGCCCAGTCTCCAGATGGCATGCTCATAACTTTGGATATTGGTCTTGTCTTGCTCACACTCTTTATTACACGTGGTAAACTCACTCAACCTAATACACCCTCCTTCCGTGGCAACTGGAATGTCCACAGGCAGACACCTTTACCTCTCCTACCACTGCCCCCAACTTCTCCTCAAAGCCTAAGCTTCCCCTTCCTTCCCCCACTGGGGCAGGCAGACTCCCCTTCTCCACACTCTAGAAGGCAGAGCACTGAGTCTACCTTGAGGGCTTTGAAGACAGTGACGCCATAGAACTTCTCGTTGGGGGTGTGTGGGGAGGTTTGACCCCGGTAGCCATCTCCTGCAGTTGCTGCTGCCTACAAGGACAGGAAACAAGGTGAAGTTAGCCAGAGCAGCTGAGGGCCCAGTAAGAGGTAGACAGTTGCAGCAAGGGGCAGGCAAATGCTCAACACCTAAGAGGCACTTGGTACTGGGGGAAGTTGGACCCTTTGGGCAGAAGGTAACATCACTGGTTTCCCTTACATTGGTCAGTCTCTGCAGCTCCTGACACTCATCATCAGAGATTACACCATCCATCACCACCCGCTGGGAACCATTCAGGAGCTTGGAGTTCATGGTGAGACTGATTCCTTCATAGAGCAGGGAGCCACCTGCAAAGCAATGACAAGATTCAGGCTAAATCGGGAAGCAGCTCAGCCAGAGGCTTTCCATTGGATATTGTCTCCCTGTAAAGAATAGAAATTTCAGTCATTTCCTGTTCACCAGAGAAACCTCTTGCTCAGTCACTTCCAAAGGTAAGTGGTCCAGAGGGAAGGACTTGGAGCTGAAAGACAGGAGATCTAAGTCCTTGTCCTAGCTCTACAGCTGAATGGCTGCTGGCTCTTGGGCCTTCACAAATTACCAAGGAAACACCATACACATTCCTAAAAACTGAGCTTCAGAGTCAGAAAGAACTGGGTTTGACTCCCAATCCTCCATTTATTGGCTGAGTGACCATGGCAAGTTACTCAAGGCTCGTAAGTTTGATACTAGTTTGATGTAAAGAATAAATAAGGCAAGTCAAAAGCTTAGCACAAATTTGGCACACAGTCAGTGTTCAAAAAATTTCACTCCGAGCATATCGCTATCATCACCATTTATTTATTTATTTACAATGGGGATCCCACAATGTGCCCAACCCACCTCCCAGGTAGTTCCGAGAATTAAGAGAAGTAATGGTGTGAAAGCTGTCTGTAAACAAAGGAACGCTGATCAGGCTCTTTTCACAGGCTAATCTTGTTAAATGAACTACTGTTAATTTAAACAACAGTAGAGCAAAGGCCACCATTTCTCTCGTGTGTTTCTCATGGTGTCTCTCTGTGCTGGGGCAACTTCACATCTTTATCGAGGCCTGTGCTAGACATTAAAAGGGACTGACACTTGAACACAGTACCTGTTCTCCAATAATTACACAAATACCCAGCATAAGGCAGACCACAAATGCCCTAAGGAGGTACAAGGTGCCTTGGAAGTTCAAAAGAAAGAGGGAGGGGACCCCAATCAGCTGGGAGATGAACAGAAGTTTGGGAGGATGTATCTGAGCCACCTTAATGGGCAGAGGTGATGGGCCACGCGTTAGGTGGAGAGGTGAGCATGAACCAAGACTTGTGGGCAGAAAGCAGGCCCAGGAACAAGGAGCAGTCCACTTTGGATGAAGGGAGGGAGTAAAGAGGGGAAAAGCAGAACATGTGGTTAAAGGGGTAGGCAGGGGTAGACTGGTCTAGCAACCACGAGTGGGAAGGGGTGGGCAGGCTGCACAAGGAGAGGTAAGTACCGACAGGAGAGAGTGTGGGCCTGAAGCAGGCGTGCGGCAATGAAAAAGGCCAAGGGTTGGGGAGAGAGGTGAAAAACAGAGCAGAGACATAATTGGTAGGCCTTCCCAATGGACTGGAAGGACAGGCAAGGGAGGAGGAGGATCCAAAGAAGACCTGATGGTTTTGAGTCTTGGTAATAAAAAGGAAGATGGAAGTTGGGAGAAAACAGTTTGGGAGTGGGGACAGGATGAGTTTTGAACACATCCTGTAAATATTTCCTGAAGTGAACTAAGCTAGTATTATTATGGACAGAACTCTTATTTCCTAACCAAAGGCCAACTCTCGCTGCTCTTTCCAGGTGGAAGTCCTCCTGGCGAGTTAGGAAGGACACAGAGGCTTCTGAAGGATGGCCCACAGTGAGCTTTTCACTACTAGGGGTGCTGCCTAGCTAATGCAGACACCCCCAAATGCGCTCTCACCTTCCCGAACCAGCATGCGCACATCCACCGACTCCTTAGTCTTCTCTTCCACAAGTGTCTCAATTTCCTTCATAAGGTTTCCGATCTCCTGGGAGATGCGTACAGCTGTTTCCCGTTCTGACCTGTGAGCAAAGCCACTCTGAGGACTGTATTCCAGGGCCATCCTTGGGCTCCCACCCCAGCTTCCCAGACTGGGCCTGCCCACCCCGCCAGGAGTTCACAGCTGCCTGGGCCCAGGAAACCCTCCAGTGCCTCATAAGACTGATCCAATCATGCAGTTTCTTCAAGGTCCTCACTTCTGTTTCTCTTGTAGTCTCTTGGGAATCACCTCCTCTGGAGTCCATGAATCCTAAAAGTAGGTCAGGAAAAAATGAACACCTAGTTCATCTTCCAAGCCTCAGTGCATACACTAGGGTCTACAGGAGAAATCCAACTCATCACCTAGACTCCTTTCAGGAGATAAAGTAGGAGGCTTCTGAACCTAAGACATGTCCAGCTGCCAGGATCCCCTTTTTATTTTTCTGTCTCTCACCCATCAGTTTTATGGGTCCCGTGTTTAGCCCAGCCCTCCAGTAGTTTTCTCCCCAGAGTCACATAGTGTGCCACACTCACCCACCCTTGCCCCCATCTCGATCTTTCCTACCCCCCTGTGGCTCCTGCGTCTTGGCTTACTGGATCAACAAAGGGAATTCCAAAAACATCATAAGCGAAGAAAAGCAGTTCTTTCTCCACCAGGCTTCGCTGTCGGTACTCCTGGGCACTCTGAGGAAACACAGTGGGAAGAATCTCCTAGGACTCGGCCCTGTCCTTTAACCCTTGGGGGTGCCTTTCCCTGGCACTCTCCACTGCTGCTCCCTATGTGACCTGAGGCCTCACCTCAATCACTACTACACCTGGTCCCTGGTTGGGGACAAAAGCCACACTTCTGTGTTCAAGGTTTCCTCTGGCTCTTGCCCAACACACGCAGTACCTGATGGTGTACACCCAGGCTCCCCTTGAAAGGAAAAAGGCCTCCCCACCTGATCACTATCTCAGGCAGATGATCTAATGATTCTTGGGAGATGTGGAAATAGAATTCAAAGAAGGCGAATTCCTTCTTGACTTTTACAGGGGTCCAATACTCAGGGAGGGAGGGAGGTGTTAAACAACTCATGTGGTATTCATTTAATCTTTACAACCACCTTTTGAGGTTGATACTATGGTCCTCATTTTACAAATGAAGAAACTGAGGTGCAGAAGGGATACGCAACTTGTTTAAGGTGACACTATAGGAAGTGGTAGAGCAGGGACCTAGGTTCAAAGCCAGGTCTTCCTAATCCTCAAGCTCAAGCACTATCTGCTATGCCACCTGCCTCCCCTAAGACTCTGGCAGCACCGCGTACCTCTGTGAAAGCAGCTGGGTCTGGCACTCTGGCCCTTCCCACGTATGCTCACTGGCAGGGCTTACCCAGGGCAGGGACACTGAACACTTGCTGGGTCACATCTCTCCCTAGGTGCCATGCCCATCAGGTGCTTGCGCACTGAGCCCTGCTAGTCTCCAAGCAGCAGCAGAAGGAAGAGAAAAAGAAGACACAGTCAATTGAAATAAAAGACAAGGGCAGTTCAAGGAGGAAAATGTTAAAGGAGTCAGTAAGTCCTGTATCATCTACTATATTTACCCAAGAGGAAGATGACAATTTTCTCCTGAGGAATTTAAATTACTGGCTTCCTTCACTAAGTGCTAGATACCAACTTAGGTATGTCATCTCGTTTAACCCTCTCAACAACTCTATGAGGCTTCTAGGAAGCAAATCCCACTTCCATCATTTATGGTGAAGAGTACTGACTACCCCATGGACTGCCAGAAGAACGAACAAGTCTGTCTTGGAAGAAGGACAGCCGGAAAGCTCCTTAGAAGTGAGGATGGCCAGACTTTGTCTCATGTACTTTGGACATGTTATCAGGAAGGACCAGCCCCCAGAGAAGGACATCATGCTTGGTAAAGTAGAGGGTCAGTAAAAGAGAGGAAGACCCTCAAGAAGAAGGATTGTCACTGTGGTTGCAACAATGGGCTCAAACACAGCAACATTTGTGAGGATGGCACAGGACCAGGCAGTAATTCGTTCTGTTGTACGTAGGGTCGCTATGACTCAGAACCAACTCGGCGGCACCTAACAACATCATTTATTCACTCAACAAGTATTTATCGAGGATCAGGTACGGTGCCAGAAACTGGGACAAAGCAGGAAAACAAAGATTCTGGTTGCCACTGACCAGCCACAGCCCACTAGGCAAGTTACTTTGCTCTCTAAGCTGCAATGTCCTCATCTCTAAAATGGGGAGAACAGCAGCCACTTCACAGGCAGGGCGGCTGTGATGAGTAAATGAACGATGGGTAAAACCACCTAGCATAGCACCTGGCTCAAGACAGGTGTTCAACAAATATTAGTTACCTCCTTCCCAGAAGGGAGTTCTGGTTTAAAACGGTAGATTGACCACATACGTTTATTCTTCCTCTCTCCCCCAGACTCGCCAATGTGACCATAAAAAAAGGGGGGTGGGGGGAGGTATTAACCAACCAAGACAAAGACACAGGAAGTGCCATCTGGTTCATATAGATGGTCACCATCTAGCGGCCAAAGAGGACAACTACAAGGTAACTGGTACACCCACGTGGGAGAGGACAGCAAGAGAAGAAAGGACCCTTGATCATTTCTATCGGAGACTCTCAGAACTCCAGAGCTAGGAAGGAAGGGCCTTAGCTCTTTGTCTTCAGAGCACGGTGGTGACCCGACCTCACCAGGCTGTCATGAGAATCAAATGAAATAAAGGCTCTTAAAGAATTCTATAAACTATAAAATGCTAAATACATTTTAGGGATGGTTATTTTGAATGACTTAGTAAACTCCTCAATAAGTATTGGAAGTCTGTTACTGCCACATCATCTACCTGCTTCTCCCAATGAACAGAGGAAAATCAACCGCTTGAGCTGGATTACAGGTAGGGCAGAGGGCCTCTGAGGAAAGCACCCTGCTCCTCCTTCTGTGTTCCCTTGCTAGGTGAGCACTATCCCTGCTGTCTCTCAAGCTGGGAACTTGGTGCTTAGTTGGATATGAAGAGCGGGGAGGAGTGGAAACACCTCTGCATTCTGCTAATTCTTCCCCTAACTGTTCTCCTGCCTCTAGCACCTTCCTGTTCTGAGCCATCCACCATCACGTCTCGTCATGCCACTGCTTAAAGTCCTACAAGGGCTCACCACTGTTGACCCTACAGAAGAGTGTTCAAGGTTTGGCTAGGCACTCAAGACCCATCACAATTTTACCCTCTCAGGCCTCATCGCTTGTCTCTCCCCAGTATCACAGTCCACCTAGCTGGGACAATTGTCCAGGTTGTTTGCACATGTTGTCCTTTGTCTAGAAGGCCCTTTCCTGCCTCAGTTGTCTACCAAAGGCTTTTAAAACCAATCTTAAACATCACTTTCTCTTGAAGTCTCCCTGACTTGCTCCTCAGTTGATGCTTCTCCAGGCTTCTACTGTAGCTTGCACACACCTCTGTTCTATTCACTACAGTGTGCTTTAAATTTTTGTTTATATACCTTTCTTTTCCAGTCCAAGGAACTAGTCTTTTCTGTATCACCAGTGACCTAAGGTGTGTTTTAGGTGGCATTCAAATATATGGCCAAAATAAATAAAGAGTATAAACAGACATAAATGTCGTGGCTATTGGTATTAGTTGCTGTTGACTAGACTCCAACTCACGGTGACCCCACGTACAGCAGAACAAAACGTTGCCTGGCTCTGCACCATCTTTCGAGATCACTGATATGCTTGAGTCCACCATTGTGGCCACTATGTGTTTTGAGTGCCTTCCAATCCAGGACTCATTCTCCAGCACTATATCAGATAATGTTCTATTGTGACCCATAGAGTTTTCATTGGCTAATTTTTGGAAGTAGATCACCAGACCTTTCTTCCTAGTCTCTCAGTCTGGAAGTACCACTGAAACTTGTCCATCATGGATGACCTTGCTGGTATTTGAAATACTGGTGGCATAGCTTCCAGCATCATAGAAACACACAACCCACCACAGTATGACAAACAGACGGGTGGTGGCAGACATAATAGAAAAGTTCAAATCTCCCTTCTTACCCTTGACCTGTAGGCCCACACCTCAGGAATAATTCCTATTAACAGTTTCTTATCAATCTGTCCAGGAAATTTTGAAACACATATGTTTATTTCAAAAAACGTAAACAGGATATAGTAAAATTATAGGTCTAAATCTTACTTCCTTTTTTGTCTTTACCTAAAAATAGCTCATGGAAAGCTTTTCACACTGGTGCATAGTAATGCACCGCATGCAGTATAAGAGCTGTCTGCATGTCACTGAATGAATGCACCATAATTTATTTAACCAATCCCCACTGATGGCAGTTAGCTTGTTTCCAGTTTTTTTTGCCTTTAAAAACAATGTTCCAATGAATATCGTGCATTTACCTTTGCATGTATACCTGTATACCTATGGGATAAATCGCTGGCAATAGAATTACTGGGTTGAACAGTCCAATTTACAGTCTTACCAACAGTGCACGAGTGTGCCTGTTTGCTCAGTCTCTACATTTGCACAATATATTTGTTGAAACACAAATGAATGGCCTCCAAAGTGATTGTAGCAATTTACCATTTTTTTCCCTGGCAAAGTTAAAAACTAGTCCAAAGTTATAGCCATTTCTATACAGAATACAGGTGGGGTTTGGGAGAGATCAGCAGGACACAGGTGAGCAAGGCGCACACAGTGATCAGTCACACCCCCCGTGCCCTCCCCCATTTCTGGGCTGAGGTGGCTAAGGTCAGAGGTGAATAAACTGGCCATCTGCTACTTGGGTACCATCAGCAAGACCCCTGCGATGCTACATGTCCACCAAAACACTTTCTGGACACTGGCACAGTGCCTGTCAGTTTACAGAGTGCATTTATAATCACTGTCTCATTTGACCCTCATACTCACCCTGTACTGAACACACAGCAAGAATTATTATCCCATTTTATAGAAGGGGAAACTGAGACTCAGAGAGGTGATGTGGTGGGCCTAAGATCACACACGGCTAGTATGTGGAGAAACCAGGACTTGAGCCCAGACCAGTGACTTCAAATCCCCCTCACTGTTCTGATCTCAAGAGTAGAGGGTGTAGGGTCTGGACAAGGTATACATATAATATCATGTTATCAAACTTCATCAAGTTAAAAACAGAAAACTTCTCATGTTTTTAATTACAAAAATAATACCCATTTGCTGTAGAAAATTTAGAAAATATAAATGAGCAAAATACAAAAATCTCCCAGAAATAACCACTGTTAGCATTTCAGTGCATTTCATTCTAGTCCTTGTGTTATATAGATTTTCACTTGAGTGACATGGGAATAATGCTGAGAGATGGGGGAGAACAGGCAACGGCAGGAAGAATGGGATGGGGAGGAAAAAGGAGACAGCTGACAGGCGAGTGCGGAATAAAGACTGGCGTGAAGTAAGAAATGATGGCTCCTGGCCAAACGGTATTAGGTGCCAGAGAAGAGAAAGAACATGCCCGCAGAAAACAGACTTCTGGGCCCATAATGCTAACTAAGGCTCTCATCCATTCCACTCACTTCCTATGCCCCCCTGCTCTCTGTGTGACAAGCTGTGCCAGTGCACTCACACCCAGCCCAACACCCTGCCCCACCCTGCACAAGCAGTGCTGACTCCCCTCCCATACCCCACTCTCCTGCCCTCTGGTCTGAGGGCAGCGGGCAGCTACCCTAGCTAATGCGGGCCCCTCACCTCACGGGGGCCAATGGATCTGGCTTGCTCCTCTCCCAGCATAGCTGTGTAGTAGGCCAGATTCTGGCTCATCACCTCATCGTTGGGGAAGAAGAGAAGATAGGTCTTGGCACATTCAATAGCCTGTGTATAATTCCCAACTGCAAAGAGGAAAAATAAAGGCTTAGAAGAAGGGGTCTAATCCTTGTGTACCAGGAACCACTTAGTGTTCAGTCCCAGCAAAGCTTGAAGACAATGACATGACAAGGTGACCCCATCCCATAACACTCCTGCCTGATTTTGGTGGGACAAATTATAGAATATCTATAGCACATATATTTGATTTTAAGCTGTTCGATGACCTCAGGGTTGCCTAATATTGAAAATGAAAAGAATCAGAACCCTTTGTATACCCACATGTTCAATAATTCTGGCATTTCTAAAAATCCTGGCATCCACATTCCCAATCATTGGACCAGCTTCAGAAATATTCCCCGTGTCTCCCTACCTTCTTTTCCCTATGGATTTCAGGAGAGGGGGGATATTACAATAGCAGATGGCCTTTTTGGCAAACTGGATCTCATTCATGTGTGTTAATCACCTCAACTTGACTATGTTGTTGTGGCCATCAAGTCAATTCCGACTCACAGTGACCCTATAGGACAGAGTAGAACTGCCCCATAGGGTTTCCAAGGCTGTCATCTTTAGGAGAGCAGATCACCAAGTCTTTTCTCCTTTGGAGCTAGTGGGTTCGAACCACTGACCTTTCAGTTAGCAGCCGAGCTCCTGATCATTGTGCCACCAGAGCTTCTTTAATCCAACTATAAAGACCTTATACTCTCGAATACACTGTAATGTTGAGCATACAGTAGGAACTCAGTAAAGACCTGCTGATGTGTTGCTTTTTGGGATACAGATAGAGCCCCCAACAGCATTCATGCTATACTAGGAGGAAAGGCTGGGAAATGTCCTCTGAGTGCACACTCTTACCTTTGCTATTACTTTTCATTTAAATGCATTTAATATAAATGCCATGGAAGGAGCAAGAGAGAGAGAGGTCCTAGAGACTCCTTCCCCCAGCTTTTAGCTGCTGGTACCAGCCAGTGGCTTGTAACCAAGTACCCAGGGATCATCTAGCATGGTGTCTCCCACAGCCACAGAAAGAAGCCAGATGTGTTGAAGAAGTACAGTGGCCTTGCTTTAAGCTCCTTAGTCAAAGGCAGAAGGGAAAGAGGAAAGAAGGCCTTACTGTTATAGTAGGCAAACTGCAGATAATTATAATGCGATGGCAGGAAGTCTTCAAAGGGCTTCTCTCGGCTGGGGTGGGTGGCAAGCTCGGTGACACAGTTCTGCTTACAGCTGAGGACCTGGATGTAATGATCTGAAAGGAATCAAACAGGGGGCGTAGCCATATCAACCTTCAGGATTCAAAAGCTGATTAAGAAGAACAAATTTAAGCAGAAGCAATTTTCAGTCAGATGTCCAGATCTGAGAAATGCAGGAGTGAGGCTGAAGATGCTATGTCCGTATGATCATGCCATTGACCTAGCCCTGGCGGCCTGTGGCCGAGGGCTGGGCTGCACACCTGCGATGGCTTGGAAGAGGTCAGCGTTGTACTCGAGGTAGTTGTAGCCGTCGTAGTCATAGGGCCCCTCGCAGAGCACACGGCACTCCTCCTCGGCCACAAAGTACTCTTGCAGCGCTGCCTCTAGGTGGGGCACGGCTTCCTGTGGCTGCTCCTCCGAGTACAGCTGCACTCCCAGTCGAAACTCGTGCTACTGGGAGAAAGGAGTACTCAAACTCAGGCCACAGAGGAACCCTCTCTCCCCTTGCCCTTGGTTCCTAATTTCCTGCTAGTCAGCTTATAGGTGGTAAGAGGCGACCTAGGTGGCTGCTACATAATGAAGGCCTTGTGCAAACAGTCTTTCCACGTTCCTTTTGAAATTTAAAAAACACTTAACTCAGTCTAGGCGAAAGATATATGGGAGTTCGTTATTATAATCTTGTACTTTTCTGCAGGGCTAGAAAATTTCAAAATAAAAAATGAATTAAAGAAAATCTCTCTCTTAAATGCTAGAATGTGGTCTGTGGTGAAGCTAGCAATCGTTCTGGTAATAAGGGGGGATTTAGGCTCCCGCAGCTGATTACAGACTTCAATTTTGCTGTCTGGGGGACAGCTCCCATTCTCAGGGTCAATAACCATTTTCATCTGTCACAGAATCACTAAAAGAAATACTGTGTACATTTGTGTAATGTACTAAATGTACACTTTACATTTAAGTCATTCTGATATTGTTTCTAATACCCCCATTTCTAAACTATTAAAATTTAAGAGAACATAAGATAAGCTCTTTATAAGAAATCCTATATCATCGTAAACAACATCTCTTATGGAATGCAGGTTTTCCCCGTGAACCAAGCAGAATAAGAACACTGAGGAATGCTGCACCACTTACGGAGTCCTGGTGGCGCAGTGGTTAAGAGCTCAGCTGCTCACCAAAAGGTCAGCAGTTTGAATCCACCAGGTGCTCCTTGGAAACTCTATGGGACAGTTCTACTCTGTCCCATAGGGTCACTATGAGTCGGAATTGACTCCATGGCAACAAGTTTGGTTTGGTTTTCAACTGCTTATTGTAGTGAAAACCTACATGACCAAAAAAAATGTGAATAGTTAAATTAATATGATATATGCATAAGATGGACTATCATGCAGCCATTTAAAATCATGTCTTCAGAGAAAATTTGAGGAGATGAGAGAAGGCTCATGACCCAATGCTAAGTCAAAAAAACACGATGCTTAGGGGACACTGGGCTTTGTTAAGGGCAATGGAAAAATCTGGAAACCAATAATGGTGATGGCTGAACAACATGATAAACACAATTAACGTCACTTAATCGTACATGTGAAGAACGTTGAAATGGCAAATGTTTTGTTACATATATTTACCACAATTTAAAAAAATGATGAAAAATATACAAACAAAATAGTATCAAATTAGGCTAAAAATGTAAGATATGGAAGACATAACAAAATAGGCCAAAATATCAACTAGTGGTTTTCTTAAGGTACACTTAATACAAATGATTACTTTCTGTCTTTTACTTATCTGTATTTTTCTAATGTTGTACAATGAACATGTATTACTTTTGTAATCAGAACACAACCCTAAGGACTGTGGGACATAAAGTGATACTCGTGAGGAGTGTGCCTCTTAGCTCAAGTAGATACAAGAGACTAAACGGGCAGCTTCTGTCTGGAGATGAGATGGGAAGGCAGAGAGGGTTAGGAGCTGGTTGAATGGACATGGGGAATCAGGGGTGGAAAGGAGGAGTGTGCTGTCACAGTGTGGGGAGAGCAATTAGAGACACATAACAGTGTATGTATAAACTTTTGTATTGGAAAAAATAAAAAATAAATAAATAAAAGAATATAACCCTAATAAATGTCACTTCGAAAAAAGAGAGAAGGGAATATAATTTTTTTCACCATATGGGGTTTGGCTTCAAGGTCTTTGAAGTCGGCCTCCTTCACCCCAGACATGGTTTGGTAATAGTCCAGGTTCTGACGCATCTCCATGTGCTCCGGGTTGCCCACAAAGAAGGTGTGTGCTGCTGCTACAGCTTTCTCCAACTTGTTTATCTAGGAATGAAGCACAAGAACATAATTCTCACATCTGCGCTCTGAAGGGTTGTTGGGGATTCAGCCAAACAGAAGACTTGGCAGTAGTGTCCAAATGTGCAGGCCACAGTAAACAGGAAATCTCAGCTTTCCTGAGCCTTTCTGAGCGCCGTGGCTCAGCCTGCCACTCAAACATGTGCCCAGCTCCTGCCAGCCCCAGAAAACACACTGACTGGAGGGACTACATACTAGAAACTAGGAACACAGTGCCATGAACAGATTCTCAGCTATTTCCCAAATCAGGCTTGGGGAGTCCCCAAATTATAGGAGGTAATACTTTAGGAGTATAAATGTTCCATTTTAAAACAAAGGTCATATTGTAGGAAGCATGATGGAAGACTGACTGCCCCAATAATATTCAAGTCTCTAACGCAGTGACTAAGCTGAAGAAAGTTTAAAGCTTCAAGGATTTAGGGGCAGGGGAGAAAGAACAGTTAACAGTTAAACTGTGCCTAAGAATTTTCCCAGAAAATCATTTTTTTTTTTTTTGCATAAAACAAAATCAAGTGTTTTTATCACATTTAGGGAAAAGCTGGGTAGCTGAAAAATCCTAAGGTCTTCTACAAAATCCAGACGTGGTATCTTCTGACTTCATATGAAGTTAAAACAAGTGGCTATGTAGAATCTGAGAGAAAAAATGTGCTACAGGTTACAATAATGCCCATAGCAAGACTTCAGTATAGCAAAGTAAGTAACACAAGTTCATACACAGAACTCCAAATAAATCACTGATGATCTAATGCTTAACCACATGCGCTTTGGTATCAGACAAACCAGTGACAAATCTAGGTTTTATAACTCACTTGCTGGGGCTTTAGATAAGTTACCTAATGTTTACTCTTTAAATCCAGTTCCCTTGTCTGTCATATGGAGATAGCACTACCTACTTGATAGGATTGTGGAGAGAGTGAATTGAGATATATATATCTTCTAACACATGGTGCTGGACACCTATTAAGTACTCAATAAATGTTAGCTGGTATTATTAAGGAAACTCTGGTGGTATAGTGGTTAAGAGTTCGGCTGCCAACCAAAAGGCTGGCAGTTCGAATCCCTATAGGGCAGTTCTACTCTGTCCTACGGGGTCTCTATGAGTTGGAATCGACTCATCAGCAACGGGCTTTTTCTGGTTTTAGTATTATTAATAAGAAATTTTTTTTTCTTTTCTTATCATTGGTACTAATAAACGCACACTAAACAAGGAGTCACTCCTGGTTCAGCCCTTAAAATAACTAGGTGACCTAAGGTAAATAATTCCGCATCTCTGTACTTCAGTTTCTTTAGCTATAAAATTAGAATTTCTCCCAAGTCTGTCCCAGCTCTGGCATTCCATCAGGACATGGATCCCTTTTATGGGTGTATTCTCTCTCCCGTATCTTTCAGCATTGCTCTCATCTAATCCCTCCCCCACCCCCCACTTCCCACACACCTCTCTCCCACCCTAGCCCTTTATTCCCTGAGCACTGAGGCACCTAACTTTCTTCTCTCATCTGGACAACTGCAACGGTCTCCTAACTGGTTGCCCTGTCACCACTTTCTCCTTCCAGGACTTTTCCCACATTGCTTCCAGAATTAGCACACTAAAACCCAATTCTGATTGTGGCTCCCTGAGGCCTGCAGAATTCTCCTCCCAATGTGGCCTCACTTACTTTTCTAGTCTCCTCTCCTGCAACTCCCCACATACATCCAATATCCTAACCACAAAAAAGTGACTTATTTCCTGAATACATCATGCTTTGATTCTACTTTTCCCTCTACCTGGAATAGCCATCCTTCTTCTCTCCCTAGCAATATTTAGGGCCACCTTCCACTGTCACCTCTTCTTTCAAACCTCTCTAATTCCTCTGAGACAAAGTGAGATTCTCCCTCCTTTGTGCGCCCACAGTCCTATGTACATGCCACTCTCATAGTCCTTACTACAGTGATTCTAAACAGCAAAGCAAAACAAAAGGTACAAAAGTCAAGCATTTTAATTATCTGTACAAGAACTGGAATATAGTAGGTATTCAATAAATGTCAATGAATTATAGAAGCTCTGTTAATACAGGAACAAAGACATAGCCCCATTATTTTGGTCTCAAGTCTAGTACTCTTCCCAGTAATTAGGAGGAATGGAGGGGGACTCTGTAAGCAGAATGCTTGTGGAAAGGTAGAAATCTGAGCTCCTCAAGATTCTCTAAGTCTCCCTCTAGGTTGAATTGAAGGTCTTTTAAAACATGGATATAATAAACACGCTGCACAGCTCATTCTTTTTTATGTTTAAAATTCTAGCCAGCCCCTTCCTAAGCACTCCTCTTATCTGAATTCTACATTAGAATCCGCCACTTACCAGGTGTGTGATCTGGGGAAAGAAATTTAACTTCTTGGTGCCTCAGTTTCCTCATCATTAAAATTGAGCGAATAATAGCACCTACCTACCAGTGAGTGGTTAAGAGCTCGGCTGCTGTTCAAATCCACCAGCCCCTCCTTGGAAACCCTCTGGGGCAGTTCTACTCTGTCCTACAGGGTCGCTATTAGTCGAAATCGACTTGACGGCAACGGGTTTGGTTTGGTACCAGGATATTGGGAGGATCAGGGCAAATGATTTAATAAACGTAAAGCGCTTAAAACACTGCCTGGAAAATGGCACATCCTCAGTCGCACTGACTATCACTATTATCATCATTATCACATAAGGGAGGAGACCGCAAGCCCATCTGTACACTGGAACTTACTCGGGTATTCCTAAAAACACTCATTTTCTTTGGAAACCTGACGGACTAGCCAAAGGGTCCCCCACAGGGAGGGGCCAGACAGCCCCTGCCGGCGACGTGGCAACTTCACGTCCTGAAATGAGAGCTGCTGGACTCCGGCAGCAGGAAAAGCCTAGTGGAAAAACGAATCGGAAGGAAGATATTGTAGAAAGGTCCTAGCTTCTCAGTCGGACACTTGCAACGAAGTCAGGATGAGAGACCCATACTGCCAAATTAATTCCCTCTAGGAGGCCTCCCGCTGAACAAAAGGCCAAGTTTACTCGGCCCGTGCCTTAACCCCAGGCTGAACATTTGAGGTTAGCATTTGCCTAAGCGAACCCGAGGAGGCAGGTCTCCTCGCTGGGTCGCTACTTTCCCTGGGTCCAGGGAGAAGTCAGAGGATGCTCCCCGGCCAGAAGGCCACCTTCCCTCTCCGCAGACACTTTCCCGGTCCCCTAAGCTCTCCTGGACCACGCCTTTCCCCACAAAGGCCCCGGCCGCCCGGTCCCGGGCAGGGCTGCACCTTGAAGTAGGCGACTTGCAGGTAGTTGTAGGGGCTTCGCTTGCGGAACTCCAACTCCAGCTCCTCGCTGAGCGAGTGGGCGCTCGGCGGCCCCAGGCAGCGGCGCAGACAGGCGGCACGGCGCAGCAGGCCCCCGAAGAAGCGCAGGTCGTGCAGGGCGGCGGCGCCCGAGGCTTGGCCCGAGCTCGGGGGAGCGTTGAGGTCCAGCTCCCATGGGAGGTCGGCGGCACACCGGGTGCGGCAGCGCAGGCGGAGGGCGCGTAGGGCTGCCCGCGAGCGCAACGCCCGCTCCATGCTCAGTACCACCGCGGCCCAGTCCCCGCGCGCATAGGCCGCAGTCCCCTCGGCAAACAGCAGATCAGGCGCCACCATGTCCCATCCTGCCTCGGACTCAACCTCGGCCGGTGAGGCGGCGGCGGCGGCGGTAGCCAGCAGAGTGGTCAGCAACATCAACACCCATGCCGCCATCGCTTCCGCAAACCTAACGGGACCGGTAGCTAGCAGCCACCGAGACCAGAGTCCCACCCCCGGAGGAGCCCCGCCCCCGAGTGAAGGCCCTTCTCCCGAGCCGGGCGACGCATGTCCAATAGGTTCGCACGTCTCTAGCTTTCGACCAGCCTCTACCCCGCCCCTCAGCTGGAGCCCCGCCTCCGAACTCCTGCCGAGCTCTGCACGTCTGATGCCCAATGGCCAAGGAATACGGAGGCTCGGCCCACGAGCCTTTATGCGCATGCTCTTTCTGCTTGCACCGCCCTGGTGGTAGTGAAGGTAGGTCGTCGTCATGGCTGCTCCTGCAACCACGGCGCGCACTGAGGGAGTCACTGAAAATCAGGCGGTTCAGTCGGCGACAGGTCAGGAAGGGGTGCGGGTCGGGAGTCAGAAGGGGGAAAGAAGTCCTCACGGAGCGCCTGATACCCTGGGCTTCGCGGGAGGCCAAGGGCGGGAGCTCACTGCCTGTGTTCCTGGGTGTGTATCGCAGGAAGCTTGGTGGAGCTCACCCCGACCCCCGGCGGCTTGGCCCTGGTGAGCCCTTACCACACCCACCGGGCCGGGGACCCCTTAGACCTCGTGGCGCTCGCAGAGCAGGTGCAGAAGGTGAGACGGCGCGGCTGGGGAAGTAAATAACTATCTTCGTTCACGTTTTGTCCAGCGTCTTAGGGCTCGGCTCTCACAACCACTTAGTAGTGTGGGGTAACATTTGTCATTGTATCCGTTTTATAGACAAGGAAAGCTGACTGACGTTGAGTCAGTGGCCTGACTCGAACCTTGATTTTCTGAGACCAGAGGCTCCTTCAGCTGCAACTTGGGTATCATAATCTCCCTCCGTGGGAGGTTTGCACAGCACTTTCAATATTCATTATTTCATTTGGGCCATAGGGCAGCTCCTGAAGGTAGGCAGTACAGAAGTTATTCTTCCTAGTTGACACACGAAGAGACAAGTTCCAGGGAAGTTTCTAGATCACTGTATCCCAAATTTTTCCGGGATGCATGTTGTTTTATTAGTTGCAGACGAGTCGATTCTGATTCATAGCGATCCTACGTGTAGAGGGTACAACAGCTCCTTAGGATTTTCAAAGCTGTGACCTTCAGAAACAGATCGCCAGGCCTGTGGTCCACTCATTTTAAACTGCTTCCCCTAAGATCTTTATATGTGACCTGAGAGTTTATAGAACCTAACATTTTCTAGGAGGGTAACAACTTTTAAGTCTTGTCCTGTGTCCTCATTCATTGGACACAGTATTCCTAAGGCCAGTGCTTAGACACTGATTACCAAAAGAAGTAAAATAAGAAGGAAATGTGAAATAACAGAAAAAGCACTGGGATTTTGGATGCATAAATTTTAATCACACTTTTGATATTAACATGCAGCGTGACTTTAGGCAATTTATTTCTTTATCTGTATAACGAAGGCTTTAAGAGAGCTCCAAGATCTAAAGCTCTGACATTATTCAGTGAAAAATCAAATTCCTTCTAGTCTTTACCAAGACTTCCAGTTGTAGAACCCCCTTTAACAGGCCACGAATATAGGACCCTGCTGCTTTAAAGCTTATAATATCCCCTCACCCTTGTATACACTATCAGATTTGGCCTTTGCTATGTTCAAAGGCCTTAGTTTTGCTCAAAATATTTAATAATTAAAATTAATGCCCTCAAATTCCCTCATATAGACATCTGTGTACTTTAGTTTGTTTTTTTTAATTAAGATACGAGAGCCCCTTTGATTCAAACCTTTCTCTTTTCTAAAGAGGTAGGAAGCAAAGTACAACTTTTATGAATTAGGAGAATATCATACGTCTGTTTAGTCAGATCACTCTTACTGGAGGGAGGCTGCCAGGGTCAAAATCTGGGGCAAAGAGAACATTTTTATGTGTCACTGAGTGATCATTATGTTCATTACAACGGCCTGAGCCAAAGAAATAAGGAACGCAGTGTTTGTCTTTCAGCCTGTAATCCAGTAAAATATAGAGAATGCATTATTGTGCTGCCATCATTTCTCCAACATAATCAGTCTTTGAAAAGTTGAAGACATAACACTCTAGAGACGAAACAAATTGAATCAAGTGTGTATACTCTCTGTATACTGAAACGTACCTTCTAGCAGGACTGACTTCTGACATGCCGTTTAGGTATCAGTGTGTGGTCAGAAGGGAACCCTGGGGGTCAGTGGTTAAGTGCTTGGCTGCTAACCAAAAGGTAGGCGATTTGAACCTACCAGCTGCTCTGCAGGAGAAAGATGTGGCAGTCTGCTTCTGTAAAGATTTCATACAGCCATGGAGACCCTCTACGGGCAGTTCTACTCTGTCCTATAGGGTTGCTATGAGTCAGAGTTGACTTGATGGCAGTGGATTTGGTTTGAGTTTTGGAGTGTTCAGAAAGCTTGGGAGGCCTAGTATACAGGCATGAGTTTTGGAATCAGACTGATAAACGTGTTCAGATCTTTCAACTTCCACTTACTAGCTTTGAAACCTTGGACCAGTTAACTCATTTCTCTAATTCCTAAAATGAGAAGATGGAGTTATCGTCTCCAATTGTATAAGGTTCTTATAAGACTTCAATGAGATCCCAAATGTAAAGGGCCTCAGAGTGGTTGGGGCCAGGGTTACCGCTTATAAACTTAGATATCCTTTCCTTCATTTCCTGTTTTTAATTAGGCTCATTTGTTTACAAGACCGGATTTACTCCCACCACCTTAAGGAAGATCTATCATAAGGCCACTGCTGACCTGAAACTGCATTAACTGTAGAAACTACCTACTCTCATTGGCCATATGGTGTCTCATTGTCCTTGGAACAAAATGTGAATTCTTTTTACCATGGGCAACAAGGCCTTGCATGATCTGGTCCCTGAACACTTCTTTTTTTAACCTCATTACATGCATTTCCCCTCACTAATTACTCTTTGGAGTCCCTGGATGGTACAAATCGTTAAGCACTCATCTACTAACCGAAAGGTTGAAGGTTCAAGTCTACCCAGAGGCACCTTGGAAGAAAGTCCTGGTAACCTACTTCGAAAAAACAGCCACTGAAAACTCTGATGCACATGAAGTTCCCATCAATCAGAATCAGCTCGCATCTGGTTTAGGAGCCCCTGGATGGCACAGATGATTAGGTGGTTGGCTATTAACCAAAAGGTTGGCAGTTCAAGTCCACCCACAGGAACCTTGGAAGAAAGTCCTGGCAGTCTACTTCTGAAAGATCACAGCCATTGAAACCCTATGGAGCACTGTTATATTTGAAACACAGGAGGTCACCCTGAATTGGAATTGACTCAGTGGCAACTGGTAATTACTTTTCACTTGCATTGGCCTCTGAAATGCCTGCAAATTTCTTACTCCAGCTTTCTCCATGGCTGGCCTTTTCCTATTCACCAAAAAAAATCAAACCCAAATCCATTGCCGTTGAGTCAGTTCTGACTCATACTGACCCTATATGACAGAGTAGTGTTTCCTAGGCTGTAATCTTCAAGGAAGCAGACTGCCACATCTTCTTCCCGCAGAATAGCTCATGGGTTCAAACCGCCAACCTTTTAGTTAGCAGCCAAACGCTTAACCACTGTGCCAGCAGGGCTCCTTCCTAGTACTCACACTCAAGGCAAATGTGACATCCTCAGTGAGGCAGACCTTCTTGTCTAAAGAAGGCTACCCCCCATTCAAATTGAATTTGAATGCCTTTCAGCTACACATGCATTCCGATTCCTGCAGTTCTCACTAAAACCAGAAAAACCAAACCCACTGCCATTGAGTTGATTCTGATCATAGTGACCCTGTAGGACAGAGCAGAACTGTCCCATAGGGTTTCCAAGGCTGTAAATCTTTACAAAAGCAGACTGCCACATCTTTCTCCCGCAGAGCTGCTGGTGGTTTCGAATCACCAACCTTTCAGTTTGCAGCCGAGCACTTTAACCACTGCACTACCAGGGCTCCTTCATTACTAAACCAGTTATATTATTTGTTATCTTTGGCCTGCTTCTACCACATATCTCTGTTTATTTTCTTCATAATAGTGCATCAGTAAACAGAGTATATAAAATATTAGCTTTAATTATCATCATTTTGAGCTGTGCTGTTTAATATGGTAGCTACATGTGACTATTTAGCACTTGGAATGTATGGCTAGTGTGACTGAGGAACTGAATTTTTAATTTTGTTGCATTTTAACTACTTTAAATTAAAAATCTGATAATTGATTCAATAATTCGAAACTTGAAGTATTTGGAAGAATTTGAGTATTGAGCTGATTTTTTCAACTATAAATTTTATGCAATCTACAAAGCTAAAACACTGAAAACAGGGAAACAGAGATGGCAATATTAAAAGATGACAACATTAAAACAAAAAAGAGAGACTAAATAGTGTAGTTGTAGAATTTTCATATGGAGAGGAACTCAAGGCGATATAAAGAAATAAAAGACGGGTTTAAACTTAGAAAAATAGGGGTAAATATTAAGAGAACCACGAAGGAAACTAACAATCCTACAAGTCAAAATAAAAAACAAGAAAAACATAAAAGACTCAGCAAATACAAAATCAACAACAATGAAAAAGATGAAAAGAAAATACATAAAGAAAAATGACTCAGCACAGAAAATTAAGTGGAACAAAAAAAGACATCAAAATGACAGCACTAAACTCATACCTATCAATAATTACGCTGAATGTAAATAGACTAAATGCACCAATAAAGAGACAATGGCAGAATGGATAGAAAATACGATCTGTCTATATGCTGCCTACAAGAGGCACACCTTAGACTTAAAGACACAAACTAAAACTCAAAGGATGGAAAAAAATAAGCAAACAACCCTCAAAAAAGAGCAGGAGTGGCAATGTTAATCTCTGACAAAATAGACTTTAAAGTAAAATCCACCACAAAAGATAAGGAAGGACACTATATAATGATTAAAGGATCAATACACCAGGAGGACATCACCGCAATAAGTATTTACGCACCCAACGACAGGGCTCCAAAATACATAAAACAAACTCTAACAGCATTGAAAAGAGAAATAGACAGTGTCACAAAATAGTAGACTTCAACATACCACTTTTGGTGAAGGACAGAACATCCAGAAAGCAGCTCAATAAAAACATGGAAGATCTAAATGCCACAATCAACAAACTCTTGATCTCATGGACATATACAGAACACTTCACCCAACAGCAGCCAAGTATACTTTCTTTTCCAACGCACATGGAACATTCTCCAGAATAGACCACATATTAGGCCATAAAGCAAGCCTTAGCAAAGTCCAAAACAAAATACTACAAAGCATTTTTTCTGACCATAAAGTCATAAAAGTGGAAATTAGCAACACAAAAAGCAAGGAAAAAAAATCAAACACATGGAAACTGAATAACACCTTGCTCAAAAACTACTGGGTTATAGAAGAAGTTAAGGATGGAATAAAGAAATTCATAGAATCAAATGAGAATGAAAACACATCCTACCAGAACCTTTGGGACACAACAAAAGCAGTGCTTAGAGGTCAGTTTATAGCAATAAATGCACACATCCAAACATAAGGAATGGCCAAAATTAAAACATTAACCCTACAACTGGACCAAGTAGAAAGAGAGTAGCAAAAAAAAGCCCTTGGTTGTCAGAAGAAAGGAAATAATTAGAGCAGAATTAAATGAAATAGAAAATAGAAATTTTATGCAATCTAAATATAGATCAGGTATTTCCAATGAAAATTTAGTGTCCAAATTGAGATGTAATATAAAATTACAGATTTCAGAGATGTAATATGTAAAATATCTCAATAATCTTTTATGTTGATTACATATTGAAATAATATTTTTTATATATTGAGGTGAGTAAGATACATTATTGCAATTAATTTTGCCTATTTACTTTTAACAAGGCTACTAGTAAATTTAAAATTACATATGTGGCTTGCATGGTATTTCTGTTGGACAGCTGCACTAGACTCATGAAGCCAGGAACTTCTCTCTCATGTTCACCAGTGCACCCAGTGCCTAGCATGATGTCTGACCCCCAGTAGTTGCTTAATACATATTTGAAACACGTAAATGATTGACTCAGTTTACTTATATAGTTTCTGTTCACTCATAACATTGGCTTATACCTGACTATGCTGGCCTCTCTGACCCTGCCCACCTTTCACCTTGTTGCCTCAACTAACCAGCAGATTCTGTTAATAGTTCCTAGTTCAGGTTCAAATGTAACCTCTCTATTTCTTTAACTTAATCGTGTACCACTGGAAGTTAATCAGCTTTTCTTGAAAGTAAGCTGGAAGTTTTGACAGATTTCAGATGCCTGAGTGATAATCCTTCCCAGTACATGACTTGGTTGCACCAGTCTCTCCTAGCTTTGAAAATTCCTTTATCTGTTTTTAAGCAATTTCGGTTGCCTTCAATTGCATTTTCTAGTAAATGATAGGCAGTTTTCTGTGAACATTATAACTTTGTTTCAGGTTTGTAGCATAGTACATTTTTATAAATACATTTTTTTATTGTACCTTAAGTGAAAGTTTACAATTCAAGTTAGTCTGTCATACAAAAATTTATACATACACTGTTTTGTGACCCTAATTATTCTCCCTATACTGTGACAGCATACTCCTCCTTTCCACCCCAGATTTTCCGTGTCCATTCAACCAGCTCCTGACCCTCTCTGCCTTCTCATCTCACCTCTGGACAGGAGCTGCCCATTTAGTCTCATGTATCTACTTGAGCTAAGAAGCACACTCTTCACGAGTATCATTTTATGTCCCATAGTTATAAATACGTTTTAAAGAAAATAACTAAGGATACAGATATAAGTTAAAATTTAACTAGATGTCATGTAAATAATTCAGCTGAGATAAAGGTCAGATTAACAAATACTTTATATAGCTAGGTTCCTACATGAGCAGGTGATAAGAACCATATTGCAGTGTGTCTTTTGATTTTCATTAAGACTCATCCCTGATTTCATAAATGTTTAAACATGAGAAAATAGATGGAGACCTGAAGAATGAGTAGGTTTAGTCAGGCAAAGAGCAAGGAGAAGAACGTATTAGAGCAGAGAACATATTCAAGTATTTGGTAGTAAGAGAGAGCAGGGGATGTTGGGGACTGAAGTTCACTGTGACTAGAGTAGAGTATGAAGAGGGTGGAAAGCTATGGGAAATAGGAGGGAGCACTTCATTCTGTGGTATGGGGTAATGTCAGGATAGGCTTTTCATAAGCAGTGCTATTTGAGTTGGGCTTTGGGATGAGTGGGAGTGATGAGGATGGAAAAGATATTACAGGCATAAGTAAAAATGTTGACATAATACTTCACATTGGGATCTAAATAAGAACATCATAGAAGTCATCCTTTTTCAGCCCACAGTGAGGTCTTCTTTCTCCTGTAGGCTGATGAATTCATCCGAGCAAATGCCACCAATAAGCTGACAGTCATAGCTGAGCAAATCCAACATTTGCAAGAACAAGCCAGGAAGGTAAGTAAGGACTTTAGGAAGGCTTTCATATGCATTTAGTTCACAGGCTGAACTTGTTTATAATCATTGTAACTTGTTTTCAGTACCTCCTAGAAATGTATAGATGTGAGTAAATAGAAGTATTAAATCTGGGATGTTAGGTATAAGTTTTTTCACTGGAACAAAGTTCAGAGATAAATCATTTAAAGAAAAAAAATTCTATAGTTATAATAGAAATGTACTCATTACAGAAAAATAGGAAAAAAATTTAAAAACTACCCAAAGCCAATAATGGTCAACATTTTGAAGTATATTCTTCAAAAGGCATTTTTACAGCATAGTAGTATAGTCTAATTTTTGTTTCTTCAGAATCATCTGGATTCCACTAGTGATTCATTGCCATGGGGGAGTAAGAGCCTAAGTATTGAACAATTTCCAGATTTTAATTGGGATAATCGCTGATTATGAGTGCCTGTTACTTTAAGTACCTAATTTACTACTACATCTCTATGATTCTTAGATATTGGAAGATGCTCGCAGAGATGCAGACTTGCACCATGTAGCTTGTAATATCGTGAAAAAACCTGGCAACATTTACTACCTTTATAAACGAGAGAGTGGTCAGCAGTATTTTTCCATCATTTCTCCAAAGGTAGGAACATTTGTTCTTTGCTCAAAAACCTACTCTGGCTTTTGAGAAGCCCTTGGCATGTGTGTGTGAAAATGTAGGCATGGGAGTTGGTAAATGATTTTCTAGAAAATTGGAGATGGTGTAAGCCCAGATATGACCCTAAAGCATGTTTTTTGAAAAAGAAAAAACCAAACCTGTTGCCGTTGGGTAGAGTCTTGACTTCATGGTGACCCCATGTGTGACAGAGTAGAACTGTGCTCCATAGGCTTTTCTTGGCTATAATCTTTATGGAAGCAGTTCACCAGGACTTTCTTCTGCAGAACAGCTGAATGAGTTTCAGCCACTAACCTTTAGGTTAGCAGCTGATGTGCTTAAATTATTTCACAGTCATTATTTCTGTTAAGCTACATATCTGTTGTGTAATCTGACAGCTTTCCAAGGATGGTCCTAACTGGTCTGAAATGAAAAGCCAAAAAAGAAATGTATGGCATAAGTAAGACATGGGCTCAGTTTGTTTACGCACCACCCTGATGAGAACTAACTTTTTTGCCTTCTCTAGGAATGGGGGACAAGCTGTCCACATGACTTCCTTGGGGCTTACAAGCTACAGCATGACTTGTCCTGGACTCCATGTGAGGACATTGAGAAGCAAGATGCTAAAATCAGCATAGTGGACAAGTTGCTACACCAACCAGTGGCCCTGCCTACATGCACTGAACCCAACTTCCAGGGACTAACTCACTGAGAATGGACTCTGACTAATGGCTTTCAGGGCACAGAACTAACTTTGGCCTCCTTGGTGCCCCCATTCTCTGCCTTGATGGGAGGTGTCAGAGAGTTGAGGGGATGTAAGTGAATCATGAACTTCTTGGAAGGGGACCCTGTGTGCATGAAAGTGCTGTCATTATTTTACTTGGGATGGTAATGAGTTACATTGCTCTGCTTTGGGATCCTCTCAGGGCTGCAGATACTCAACCAGTCAATTTCCGTGTTTTGGCCACTGTGCTTTCCCTTTCCGTCAGCGCCATCTGTTCTTCCCACAAGTCAAAACATTAGCGAAAGAAAAGTTTCTTCTTCCAACAAAAAGGTTGATGAGTCATTTTCCAGACAGGACTATTTTCAGTCTTTTTGTAGCTAGAGGTATTTAAGAATTGGGGTTGAGGTTATTTGACAGTTGCCTATAAAGTGATGTGACTCCAGCTTCAGATTCCTCTGGGAACAAGAAGATTGGGTCATGGAGGATGCAAGTCAGCTTTGCTGGACCAGAGAGTGTGATTCTGGTATGCCTGCACTGTTGGTGAGGTTGGCTTGCTCCTGCTCAGCTAGAATGACTGGAGAATCTGAGGCTGGGGTTTGGGGTGGGAGTCAACCTCTAAACTCTGAATTTTAGAGTTGGGAGAGATGTTAGAGACTGCCACTGACCATTGTATGACTCGACTCTATAGCCTTCCCAAGGGGGAGATCCAGAGCTCAGCTATCTGCAGTAAAAGAAGCCCATTTAAATGGCAACTGTAAAGTATCATGCAAGAAGAATATAGGGCAGTGGGAGTAAGAAACAAGAAAAGCATCTGACCTGTTGATTATGAGTTGACCTTGATTAAAACTCATTTTGACCCTAATTGTTCAGGATCTTAACAGGCTTTTTGGCTGAATTACCCTGGCTGTGATTTTTCAGGTTCCTTGGGGGACTCCACCTCATATCCTGTTTGTTCAGCAGGAATTAACAAAATTTATAGCATCCCAACATGACTGTACTTCCTTCAGTGCTGAAATGTTACCAGGTGGAAACACCAGGTTCTTGTGATTTAGGAAATTAATATTAGAATCATTTATTCCTTCTCCTTGAGCATACAGAATGTGACCCAGCTGGAGCTGGGCTCACAAGGACTCACAAGGACACATCAGCTGGGCCCTGAGGTATAAAGACAGTAGCTAAGATAATCTTGGAAAATATCTTCCAGGGAAACTTTCACATAAAGCCAATCAAACAGAACACAAAAGACTTTCCACTCTTATCTTTTTCTGTTAGCATTTAGTGTATAGAAATTTGTTGGACCAATGATGACCCTCCTGACTCTTGTTACTGAAACCTGTACCAATGATTGTTAAGAAAGACAATTCAAAATGTAGGATCACGGTTTCTAGCCAATCTGAAAAAGCTAAGCTTTCAATGGTTTTGCCCATTTGTAATGTTAATATATACTGATGGCTCTGTAACTGTTCTTTGAACTCGGGCAGACATGGCTGTGGCAGTATGCTTGTCCATTTTCCCATTCTTGCCTATTCTATAATGGTCTTTGGACTTGGGCAGACGTGGCTGTGGCAGCGTGCTTGTCCGTTTTCCCATTCTTGCCTATTCTGTAATATTCTTTGGACTTGGGCAGACGTGGCTGTGGCAGCGTGCTTGTCCGTTTTCCCATTCTTGCCTATTCTGTAATATTCTTTGGACTTGGGCAGACGTGGCTGTGGCAGCGTGCTTGTCCGTTTTCCCATTCTTGCCTATTCTGTAATATTCTTTGGACTTGGGCAGACATGGCTGTGGCAGCGTGCTTGTCCGTTTTCCCACTTTTGTCTGTTCTGTGATATTTCCTTGGACTTCGGCAGACGTGGCTTTCGCAGCATGGTTGTCTGTTTCCCACTTCTGCCCTTTTGAATATATGCCGAATAAAACTTTCTTTTGCTTATGCTGAATAAAACTTACTTTTGCTTCACTAAACTTTATGATTTTTTCCCCTGCAACACTTGGCATGACTCATATTGGCCAATAAACAAGAGTCCGATGTGGGACTCTTGTTTGTACAAGGAAATGGAATCAGTTGGTGCTTACTGCTGCCAAGACTGCTCGCCAAGGGCGGGTGGGCAGGTTACTTTTAAAAGGGTTTACAGGTAGGGAGTTAATACAAGTTACGTCAGCAACATTCTTAATCATACTACGCAGGGGTAATGGGGTTTACATATAACCTCCAAGCAAAAGTAGGATTCAAATGCAAAGCTGAGGGCGGTGTGGGGTAGCCCAGCAAAGGAACCAATTTTGCAATACAACACTGTAGAGGAAGAAGCCAGGTAAAGAATACAGCACTGGGGGGTTCTGTCTCAAAATGGTCTATCACAATATATTCTAAAGGGAGTAAGGTGTGTATTTGAAACAAGTTTCCCCATTTCCTTTCTGAGGGTTGATGCCCTTTGTGCTGCTCTGCCTCTTACTATCTTGACCCCCATTCTACTGTTCATGGCCTTTGCTTGTAAGTTGCCCTCCCTGTGGACTGTAAGTGGTCTCCTAAGACCTAGCACAGGATGGGGCTACAACCTGACAGAGTAAAAAAAAGGATGTCAACACAGGTGACAGTTTACATGGGCATACTCTGTGGAATCAGCTGCAAAAGCCTCTCGCTGAGATGCCACAGAGCTGGTGTGTGTGTTGGGTGGGGGGAGGAGGACAGTGGTACAGCAGTTGATTCTGACTAGAAAATTTCCTGGGTTTCCAGAAGGTTCTTATCTGCGTGTTGATGGCACGTTTTGAGTAGGTGCTTGTATTCGTTACCTATTGCTCAAAACAACACACATATTACTTCAGAGTTTCTATGGGTCAAGAGTCCAGGCACGGCTTTTCTGGGTCCTCTGCTTCAGGGTTTCTCACAAGGCTGCAATCAAGTCATTAGCCGAGGCTGAGGTCTCATGAAGTACTCGACTGGGGAAGGATCTACTTCCAATAACTTACATTGTTGTTGGTAGAATTTCATTTCCTTAATGGTTGCTGGACTGAGGGACTCAGTTTACTAGCTGACTGTTAGGCAGAGGCTGCCCTTAGTTCCTTGCCATGTGGGCCTCCCCAACATGGCAGCTTCCTTCATCAAAGTCAGCAAGGGAGAGGTCTGCTAACAAGTCACAGTCACGGTAGTGGCATCCCTTCAGATTTGCCACATTCTATTAGAAATAAGTCAATAGGCCAGCCCTCACTTAAGGGAGGATATTACACAGGGGCATGAATAACAGGAGGCAGGGATCATTGAATCATTGAACAGTTCTTAGTATCTGTCTGCCACAGTGCTCAATTGAGAAGGCCCTCGTTAAAAGAGGCAGTACAGGCAGTTCCTGGGTTATGAACGAGATCCGTTCCTAGGTGTGTCTGAGAATTTGTAGGTAAGTCAGAACAGGTGCATATGGTTTCTTATTTAGCCTTACTTCAGTGCGAGAAAAGACTGAAGCCTTTTCAGACCTTTAAAAGCTGCACGTGCGGTAAGTGAAGGTGACTGTAATGAAGAATTTGTTGCAAGTAGGGTTTGGTTCAGTCATTTCAAAGTGAGGTACATAACGTTAAAGGGCAAGTACTAGTTGTCTGAGTTGTCCCTAAGTCAGATGTTGGTAACCTGGGGACTGCCTATATTACAAAGTGGTTAGGCATTTGGTGTTGAAGTCACAGACTTGGACTTGACTCAATCCTAATAAAATAACCTCCCACCTGGTGTCCCTGCATCCTCCTCTTTCCCCTCTCCAGTCCATTCTGCAGATAGGCTTTGGCTTGATCTTTTGAAAATCCAAATCCCCCTCACTCTTGATAGTTCCTAACCACTGGAACTGGAAAGTATATTGATTAAAGGGAGAAAACTTCCTTCTGTTTGATAGGGTGTTCTCCCTGCATTGACCACCAGGTAGTGCCATTGCTCTTTCCTCTTAAAGCAGATTATTGAGTTTAGTGGCAGTGTGAGGTGATTTGGGAGGTAACATCTCTGGGGGACAGGGATCCAGAGATTATGTACAGTAACCACTTTTCATTCACCCAAACACCCATCCATCCATCCATCCAATAATTTAAGCGTCTTCTAGGCTTCAGGTTCTGGAGGTAACAGGTGAATTAAGGCAGGCTTCTGTTTCTAAGGAACTCACAGTCTAGTGGGGGAGACAACAAGTCAACAATTGCAATATGGTGTAAGAAGGGCTACGACAGAGGTGTGCATGGAGTATATGGAAGCACCAGGAAGGGGTACCTAATTCAGCTTGGAGAATTTGGCAAGACTTCTTGGAAGAAATGACAACTTGGATATTGACAAGCAAATAGGAGTTAGAGCTTTGTTTGGAAGCTCCAACTGTCCAATATAGAAAGGTGGTCTTTTTGGGGGATGGGATAGGGTTCATTTTTGGATGGAGTTTATTTGTGAATGAAGAGAAGGACGTCCATTTAACAAGCCATTATCAATCAACTGGCAGGGTGGCGTGAGACAAGTCCCAGCTAGAAAACACTTCTAAAAGCTAGGAGATAGGTAGATAAAGAATGGGAGGAAAAGCATTCCAGGCAGGAAATAACATGTAAGGGACATTGAGAAGAAGCAACTGCAGCCAATTCTAGAGTGAAGACTGTGTGCCAGAGGCTATGGGAGAAGAGCTAATTAAAAGATCTGGGGTGGCTTGTTGACAATATTGTTCTGGCAGCAGAGGGAGGATAGAGGAAAGCCCGTTAGGAGGCTGCATCCCTAGTCCAGACAGGAGATGATGGAGGAGATGACAAAGGTGGCGGCGGTGGAATGAGAGTGCCTCATTTCGTCGATTGTAAGATGTATGTTCCCTTCCTCCCCTCATTTTAACATCACTGAAACCTGGGTGTTTCTAAGAGTCACTGGCATGTCATAGTTTAATTGGCAGCATTTTTTAGAGACACATAAAATAATGGTGTGCCCTACAATTAACGGCATCTTAGATTTGATGAAATATGGCATTGTGAAGGTACAATAGATTGCTGTTTTATCTGGTTAACTAATAGCATGTGGGGGATTCGTGAGAGAAAATCTTCGACAATGCTTGAGTTTCTGGCTTGAATGACTGTGGATTGTGGGAATCCACTCAACAGAATGTGGAAGAAGACATGCATGGTATTTTCCAGAATAGTAATCTATAGTTGCTTCAATAATCCACCTTACTGGCCCTGCTCAGGCTCATGGGGTGTAGGTAACAGCTGACTGTAACTGCCTTTCACCACCCTAAGGGTCTAGAAGGAGGAAAAGAAAGCTTACTTGTGTCCTCAAATTACTACCAGTCAGTCCACAAATACTGAGAGTACTAGTTGTGAAGATACAAAGATGATACTGTTTATTGAGCTTTCATTCTGCCATTTAATCTTCACACAACCCACTATCTATGAGGTGTACATGGTTTTCCTTTTTTGGGGAGTGGGAACTTATGCTCAGAGAGATTAAGCAATTGGCCCGTGTGATTATACAGATAGAAAGTGATAGAGGTAGGATTCAAACACAGGCCTGTTTGATGATAACCATAACTACTTCAGCTGATTAAGACAGTCCTAGAGGATCTTAGTCTAGAGGAGACAGCTGTAAAGGAATTAAAGTATAAAGTAGACTGATAGAGTAAGATGTGTATATGACATACTATAGGAGTGTCCATTTGAGAGTTTACTGAGGCCATCTCGGCTAAGCGTGTAGAGATTTAGCGAACACCTTACTGTGCTAAGTGTTTATTTTCTCATCAAGTTCTCACAAAATTAGGATGCAAGTCAAGGCCAGAGAAGTAACTTATCCAAGGTCACTTACCTAAGCAGCTGAGTCCACATCTCTCTGGCACTAAAGCCCATGTGCAAAACCCTGTGAACAGATAATGGTTCATTCCTTCCCTTAAGGAGCGAGAGCTTGGAGGAAGGAGCTACTGAGTGCCTGGAGAAATTAGACTTCTGTAGTCTTAAGCAGCATTAGATTCAATGGACTATTCCCTACTTGAAAGCTTTTTCTTCGTTTTTATTCTAGAATATTGCCGTCTTCTGTTTTCCTGCTACTTCATTGGTTGCATCTTTTCTGTCTCCTGACCCTCCTCTTCCTGACACCTACATTGTGGACTCCTCTGGAGCAGAGTCTTTGGCCCTCTCTTCTTCCTCCATCCTCTCTGCTAGGTGATCTAATCCATTCCTGTGGCTTTAAATATCACCCGTATGCTGCTGACTCTCACATGCATGTCTCCAGCCCTGATCGCTCCCTGAGTTTCACACACACTTGTTTATCCAACAGTCTTACTTGACATCTCCACTTGACTCACAGTCTTTACAAACTTGATGTGTCCAAAAGTAAACACCTGACTTCTCCCCCAAAACCTGTTTCAACACCAGTCCTGCTTTTTCATCAACACCTATTTCACCCTGTTGCTGAGGCCAAAACCCTAAATCATCCTTGATTCCATTTGTTCTCCCCATACTAATCAGTAAGCCTTCTTGGCTCTGCCTTCAAAATACATCCCAAATCTGACTACTTCTCACTCCCTCCACACCCCTACCACCTTGGTCCAGCCACCAACATCTCTAGCCTGGACTAATGCAGTAGCCTCCCAACTTGCCTCCATGCTTCCACTCTGACCTTCCTTCAGTCTATCTCCACAAAGACTGTCAGAATCCTCTTTTTAAAATATAAATTGGATCACAACACTTCTACTTAAAAACATTCCAAGGATTTCTCATGACACTAAGAATAAAACCCAAACTTCTCGCCAAGGCTCTATGTGCTCTGCCCTCACTGTGCTCCTGCTACCCTGGCCTTGCTGTTCTTCTGTACACCAAGCTCCTTCCTGCTTCGGGACCTTCACATTTGCTGTTCCATCGGCCTGGAACATCACCCGCACGGCCTTCGCATGGTTTGCACCTTATAATTTAGGTCTCTGCTCAAATATCACTTCCCCTATTGGAAATACAACTCCTCTCATGTCAAAATAACTTCTGATCCTGTTTGTTTTCATAGTGCTTACCATGACCAAATGTTATTTGTTGCCTCTCCCTGACACTTGAGTGTAAGCTCTGTGAGGACAGGAACTCTGTCTGTCTTGTTTACTGCTGTATCCCTAACACCGAAAATAGTGCCTGCTATATAACTAACATCCAAATTATGGATGGACAGATGGACGGACGGACATCTGTAGCTCTGCGTTGACTCATATCATGCAAAGGATCTAGGGCAATGCAGCTAATAGAAATTTAGTATGAGCCACATATATAATTTTAAACATTCTAGTAGCCACATTTAAAAAGTAAAAAGGAGCAGGTGAAATTATTTTAGTAATGCATTTTATCTAACCCAGAATACCCAAAATATTAATATTTCAACAACTAAAAGCTTGTTAGTGAGCTATATGATTTTTCTTTTTAATCAAGTATTCAAACTCTGGTGTGTATTTTACACACACCTCAGTTGGGACTAGCCGTGTTTCAAGTGCACATGGTTGGTGGCTACCCTAGTAGACAGCACAAGTCTAGATAGTCTAACCTGACTGTTCTTCTTTTCTACTTCCTATTGGAGCCCTGGTGGTAGAGTGGTTAAGAGCTCAGCTGCTAACCAAAAGAGGTTGGCAGTTTGAATCCACCAGCCTCTCCTTGGAAACCCTATGGGGCAGTTCCAGTCTGTCCTGTAAGGTTATTATGAGTTGGACTGGACTCAACCTCAACGGGTTTGGTTTGGTTTATTAGATCCAGAATGGGAGGGGGCTGGAAACTTCTGCAGGAGAAGGGTTGTGTTTCTTCCCCCTTCCTTTCCCTCTTCTGAAGGAAGCCTTGGGAATGTCCAGGCTATTACACACGTTATCATATCCTTAGAATGATAATAATGATAATGATTGAGCTTCTACTCTGTGCTCAGCATTTTGTAGAATTTCATTTATTCTCACAACAATCCCGTTTTACAGATTAGCAAAAAGGTTCAGGGAAGCAAAGTAACTTGCTCAAGTTTCACATCTGGTTAAGTGTTAAGAGCTGGAATTTAAACTTGGTTTAATGTTAAAGCTGGTATTATAACCCTTACGCTATAATTTTAAACTTATCCACTTTAAGGGTCCACATGGCATGGACAAATTAAGAGAAACACATAAAGGATAGAAAGAAGCCGACCTGACTCTTGGGTTCAGACTCAGCACACATTTAGTTGCCTCTATCGCAGTTCTCCCTTTTAGTTCAGAGATACCTTAGGTCTGACTTCGGACTGACTCTAGTGTCAGACTATTGTCAGGTCTCAGCTCCACTAATTACTAGCAGAGTAACCATCAGTAAAATCAACTCTCGGATCCTCCACTTCCTCTTCTGTTGAACGGGAGTGCTAATACTAACCTCAGGGGCAGTAAAATAGTAGTGTCTGTAAAGCATCCAGCACAGCGTCCAGTGCCCACTAGCCACTCAGTGCACACCAAATCCTCTGCTTCCTTTTCCCCTTCTTGTTGCAAGGATAAAGGAGCACTGGCGATGCAACAGTAAAACAGAATGGTGGTTAGAACCCACCCCGTGGCTTGGCAGGAGGAAAGACCTGGCAATCTGTTCCCATAAAGATTAAACCAAAAAAACCAAACCCATTGCCGTGGAGTTGGTTCCAACTCCCATGAAACCCTATGGGGTAGTTCTGCTGTGTCCTGTAGGGTCACTCTGAATCGAAATTGACTAGACACACAACAACAAAAGTTGCAAGGATAGGCAAAATGTCACTTGGCCTCCTGGCTGCACCCTCCCCCACCCTCCTTTGCACATTCCGCTGCCTCCTGGAAGTTACTGCTGCCCCAGTTTAGCATTGGGGTAGGCTGGAGAATGTGAGGCAGGTGGGGGGGGGGCTCGCTTAGAATTGGTGCCCAGAATCCTACTCAATACTAAAAAGCGCCCCCTTCCTTCTGTAGCACACTATCCATCAAACTACCAAATCTACACACCTCAGAGACAATCTTACCCCCTCCCTCACTCCTCTCCCACACCTTCCACATTCCACTCAATGGCTCCTGGGTCCAGGGCTACTTCTTCCCATTCCTTCTGTCCCTATCCAACAGTCTGTCATTCATCAGGACCCCTCATCCATCACTCAGTATTACACATCCTTCCTCCACATTGGCTGCCAGAATAATCTAAAACAACCTGACCACTTCCCTATTTAAAAGGCGCCTCTTCAGGATTGAGTCTAAATTAGTTTTTCACTCATCCAATGAATACTGAGGGGGGAGGAGTTTACTATGTGAAAGAGCCCCCCAAATCTAGGTGCTTGGCATAGGAGAGGCTTCTACCCAGGGTACAGGGTGACTTCCATTTTAAATTGTGCTAACAGACCTGAAAAATAAGAGGCATTTCAGCCAAGGTCACAGTAATGGGTTAATTTGCACTGACTCAGGGAGGAAGGGAAGAAGAGACAGAACTGCAGTTACTCTCAGAAAAAATGTTTTTACACAAGCTGCTCCTATCCTTGAAAGATAAGTAAAACCATTTTCGAAAAATGCTTATGCAGGCTAGCTCCGGGACAGAACTCTCTAGATTAACTGATGTATGATTATAGTTACTAATGTATGACTAACGGTTACTGTTTCCCTAAACTTCTCCTATATAAAAGAACCTTCTCATTTTCTGTACTTTGGAGCAATTTGTAATTTTGCAAATTGTTGCCCTATTGCAGTTGTAGTATCCTTCATTAAATCTCATTTTAACAGAGACTCCAGTTTTACTTTTTTACAGCTACATGTCTAGGCATTCTTACGGGGAGTCCTGGTGGCACAGTGGTTAAGCATTTGGCTGCTAACCGAAACGTCTGCACTTTGAATTGACTAGCCGCTCCTTGGAAACCCTATGGGACAGTTCTACTCTATCCTATGGGGTCGCTATGAGTCGGAATTAACTCGATGGCAACGAGTAATGAGGCGTTCTTAAAGCGGCACAACGATATAGCTGTGAACCAAACCCCTGCCCACATGGAGCTTACATTCTAGCGGCCCTTCACAGTCTAGGCCCCTACATCCCTTTACAGCCCCATCGTCCCCTCCTCACTTCCAACAAGCCTCTGACACACCATGCACTCTGAAACCAGGGACTTTGCACATAGCAAGTCACGCCGCGGCTCAGGTCTTTATCTGTGAAGCTTTCCCAGACCCGCCAGATGGAGATTGTAGGCCCCTCCTCTCAGTTCCATCCACCCTTCTCCCCGGCCCTCCCTCCCCCAACTACGAGACCAAGGGCTGCCCTGGAAATTGAGGCCCCTCTTCCTGGGACTAAAGACCCGCAGCCCCTCCCCCGCCTCCGGCATTGTGAGCTAAGAGGCGGGGATACCAGGCTAGGGGCCGGTGCAGGGTCCCCCAGGCCTAGGCAGTGCCCTCCACCGCACAGGAAGCGGGGAAGGAGTGCAGGCCCCAACCCCCCTTAGCAATGTCTTCTCCCCAGGTAAGCCATCGCGGCCCGGAAGAGGCGAGAGATGTCCCTCCCAGGGTGCTATCAGCGACCAGACTCCCAGAGGAATGAGATGTCCAGAATGGCTTCGTCCCTTCCCCCGGTGGCTACGGAGTCCAGTGGGGCCTGGGCAGGCCGCGGAGCAGCCCGGGGGGAGGGAGTGCGCGTGTCTCCGGCTCCGGCGGTCGGGGAGGAGGCCGGGTCTCGGTTGAGGGATGGGCTTTGGCCTCTAGGGAAGAGGTCTGCGGTGGGCCGGGTGGAGGCGGAGAGGGGGAAAGGCGTCTCCTGCTGGAGTGTGAGCCGGCGGCGCGGTATCTGCGGGGTTGCCCGCCGCCTGCTAGTAAACTCCTGGACTGTTCTCACTCCAGTGCTGCGCCCCCTGTTTTCCGCTAAGGATACCGCATCACCATTCATTTCAACTCTCACCTGTCCTTCCGATGCCAGCAGTCCCGGCGTCCTGCCGTGTGTCTCCTTGCTCACGTCTCCCTCACATCATTTACTACTCTCATTGCTGGTTTACTTTTCTCCAGTCTTTCGCCTTCCAAACCACCCTTCACTCCATACCCACATCTGACCAAGACACTGCCTTACCAAACATCACAGTGCCTCCCCACTGCCTGCAAGTCAAAGATCAGACTTCGCTGCTGGTCACACAAGGCACACTCTCCTACTGTGGCCTCCCTGCCAGAGTCTAGCCGCCCCTCTCTCTCCCGTGATCCAGCCTCCTAATGCTTTTAAGCTTGTAATTCCCTTTCCCAGGAATGCCCCTCCTTGTTTATCCTTCAAGACTTCTGTGTCACAATACTTGTGAATTTTTCCCGTCCTCTACCCCAGACTAGTCTGTTCTTCCCCTGTGCACCACGACAACGTGGACATTCCTTGTCCAACATAACACTTGCCATGTGGCATTCATATTGCCTGTACACATGTCTGCCTCCCCAACCAGACTCTGAGCTCCTTGAAGGTGGGGCCTGGGTCTTGTTCTTCTCTGTGTCCCCAGACACACAAGGCCTGGCACCGAGCAGGCACAGTAAATAATTTTTTTAATGAAAGAAAGATCATAAGAGTAGATGAAGGCTCATAAGACGAGGGTAGTTGGTGGGTGTGTTGAAGGGTTGGGTTGTTGAACATACCTCTGAGAAGGCTCCTTGGAGGACAAATTGAACAGGGTTTGATGCAGGGTAGACACGTGATTTGGTGCAGTGAGAGGACATGGGGGAAGCACCAGAACGATGTACTCTTAATTTAACAACATTGAACAACTTCTGTTGTCAGGCCTCATGCTGGGCACAGGGGACCTCGGTCTGCACTCAAGTTACTTACCCTATAGTAGGGGAGGAAGACAAGGTAGGCGATGACAGTACACAGTGCCAAGTGTCACACGGTGAGCACAAGGAGATGTAACAATACAGAGGAGGAGCACCCAGCAGGCTCGATGGGGGATGTCAGAGGGGCTTCCTAAAGAGGAACACTTCCCAACCCGACACCAAAGGGAGAGGTGCAGAGAAGGGGCCGGGGGCTCCAGGGGAATAGAGGAGGCTGGAGGTGGAGCAGGACCTCATCATGAAGGGCTGATATACCAAGTGAAGTGGCTGGACTCCATCCTGAGGCATTGGAGGAACTACTGAAGGCTTGCAGGAAGCTGGGGAGGGACATGATGTGCCCCTGCAGGCCATTGCTGTGGAAAGCCTCAGCTGTGCCCCTCCTCTGAGAAGTCAACCCTTGCAGGCTGGGCTGCTCTTCTCTGCTCCCCTAGCAGCCTGGTCACTTCTTTTCTGTGCAGGGTCAGACACCCCTGCTAGACTGAGCTCCTTGAGAGATGAGACCAGGTCTCTGTGTACCCAGTACCAGGCACTGAACCTTGCTCCTGATGAAACGTTTGCTGAACTACTTGATTGTTCCTTTTTTCTCTGAATTTCTACAGCTCTTAATCTCAGGCCCATATCCTTTTGTACCTGGGAGTTGTGTATTATGCTGCAAATAGCATTTAATTGGGAAAGAGGAAGCCTGATTCAAATCCTGACTCCACCATTTACTGGGGCAAGTCACTTAACTATCCTGAAACTTCAGTTTCCCCATCTGTAAGATGAGGTGCCACCACAAACAGAGCCTGTGGGTCTCCACGTGCATGTGTGAGTCTTGTTTCCCTGGATAGACTCTGAAGTGCCATGAAGGCAGGAACCAAGTGTTCTCCTAGCACTTGGCTCGGGCTGAGCATATAACCGATACAGCGTTCCATCCTGTTGGTTGGTAGACAGCAGAGTACAGAGGAAAGAACAGTTAAGGAGACCTATAAGTCTTGTTCTGCCACTTCCTGTGTGACCTTGAGCAAGGCTCTTCTCCTCTTTGAGGGAGTATGTGGCCAAAAACATTTGCCCCCATCTCCTCCCAGATTCCTCTGGCTTACGCTGCTTCCTGTGGTAGATTTTGAGGGCCCCTGATATAAGAAGGCCCCAGGAGTCCCAGTGGCTTCAGCGATATAGCTACTGGTACCTCTTGGTGAATTAGCTGGCCTGTGGGAGCAGTGAGTCTCACGGTGCTGCCTGATGCTTCCATCCCAAATCCAAGACCAGCCCCTCCCAACCTCTGACACCTTAGTGGCAGGGTTTGTGAGAAAGGAACATCGTTTGTCTCAACTCTCTCACCCTGCCCCAAACCAGAAGTGCATGCAGCTGTATGGTGACAGAGCCTTCGCTTCCCCACCTCTAAAATGAGTGAGGATTAAATGAGAAAACAGATGTGAAAGCATGTCGAAGTTGTCTATTTTACACAAGTGCAGGATTACTATTTGTGGCTGGTATGTTTACCCCAACCAGTGGGGCTTCTCTGTTTCAGAGAGGGCTGGGGCTCTTTCCCCAAAAGAAACTGAGTTTTACAAGCAGTTTTTGTGCAAGGAATAAGCATAGTTGGTCTTAGAGTAGGAACAGAGACACCACAGGGTGTGAAAATGGACAGGACCAGCTGGTTCCCCGCTCTGAGAGCAGGGAGGAGTGAGGCGGCAGTGCATGGCCTGTGCCTGCCTGGGGTGGTGGGGGAGTGGGGGCTGCAGCTGCCCAGCAGGGCTGGCCCAACTCAGAAGCAACAGCTGCTTTCCCCCACCAAGCTCTCCCTTCCTCCTGCCCACAATCCCCCTCCTGCAGATATCTACGCTACTAGCAGAAGAAACACCGTATTTAGAGTCAACAGACTGGGTTTGGTTCTACTCACCTAGTATGTGACTTTGAGCAAGTCTGTCCATTTCTCTGAACCTCAGTTTCCTCATTCATAAAATGGGGAAAGTTATAGTACCACCTCCCAAGATCATCAGGATCAGAAGAGAGAACAGATATGAAAAGTGCTTTGTGAACTCTTTAATGCTATACCTGTTCATTTTTTAAAATTTTCATGTCGTCCCATACTGGGGCTAGGTCTGATGCTCTGGTTGGGGCCTGTCAGAGTCAGGGAGTGGGCTTGGACTGTGGTACAAAATGGCTTCCTGACTCTACTTCTCCCTCAAGCCAACCCTTAGTCTGTGACACAGGGCTCATCTACCTTTTGTACCTGGCCTATGGGGTGCCAGGAGGGTCAGTATATGGGCTGGAGGGAGGTCTGTGCCATGGGCCAAGGGTACAGTCAGAGAGGGAGTGGAAACTGGTTGTGTTGCTTCACCTACTTTGCTATTGAGCTTTCCCAAGATACTCTGTCTTCAGCACCTGCTTTCACCTCCTGGGTCTGGGTCTCCTCCATCTACCTTCTGCCTACCTTTGTCCAGCCAGTGAAACAGAATGTTGGGAGGGTGCAGCTCTGTGATGAGGTTTAAACAAACAGGGGCTACAAGGTCCCTGGGAGCCTCTTTTGGGACTCCTTGACCTTGAGAACCCCCTGCCCCTCTCCCCCGAGTCCCAGGTCTGAGTCAGTGCACCAATTTCTTCCTGGCCCACGACCAGAGCCACCCCCGGCTGGATGAATCTTCCTGCAAGGATATTGTCAATGCCTTGTCCCTGGTCAACATGGTCCTGGGGCTCTTCTCCATCTTCTGCAGCTTCTACAGGTAGGCATGGGGCCCGGCAGGCTGTCTGCCAGAGCTGGAGCCAAGGGCATGGGGGAAGGAGAGGGGGAGTTAGAGAGCCAGGCCCTGAGGCCTAGGGATCAGCTAGGTGCAGGGGAAAGTGCAGTGGTTGGGAATCACGGGGCCAAGGTCCTAGCCTCATTTCTACCATCAACCTGATATGTGACCTTGGCTAGGTCACATCCCCTTCCTGGGCCTCGGTTTCTCTATTTGTAAAATAAGGGGCTTATGCTATGACCTCTATAATTCCTTCCAATTCTATCAATTTAGAATAGTTTTTATGAGAAAATCAAGAAATTCTGTTCCTCTGGCTTTAACACCGTTGTGGGGTAGGCGACTATTCATATTTTCTGATTCTTAAATTAGAACATATGGTCTGACAGGTTATTTGAAATGAGCATGTTCTGGAAAATCTGAGACATGTATCTGTCTTCCCCCAAAACTGTAAGTGAATTATATTCTTGTAAATTGAGTCATATTTCAATGCCCTTGGGAAATCAACTCTTTAAAAGACATCCTTCAGACTGCAAGTAACACCCTTCTGATCTGGTTCTCTATAACTTTCAGCAAGTAACTTCTCTTTGGATCTGTTTCTCATCCATAAAATAACATGCTTTGACCTGATGATATTTAAGCTCCTTTCCACCTTGAAATTTATATGATTCTCTAAGTCAGGGCTTTCAGAGCTCCACAACGTGGTGCACACCTGCAGCAGAAAATCTCTTTTCTTAGTTTAGCATACTCTTCTGGGAGTGTTTTCTTTTTCCCACCATGGTAAGTGCAGTATGTTTATTTAGCCTTAGTTCCCTTTAGATCCATAGGCATGGGTCTAAGCAAAGGAAACACTACAGTTGTTTGGGGATTGCAGGGTCTAGGGCCAGGCTCTCTGTGGGCTTGTCTGGGCCATACAGTAGGCCGGGGGCCAACTTGGGAAGGAAGGGGCATCCTGGCATTTGCCTGGGACTGTGGTAACACCTCACAGGGACCTGGGAGCAAGTGCTAGCTAGACACAGAATCTTCAAACGTGGGGTCTGGAAGAGCCCTTATAAATCACTTAGCCCCTGCCCCTCATTTTACAGATGAGGAAAAGAGGCCTAGACGGGAGAGACTTATCTGAAAATTCACAGCGAGATGGTAGTAGAGGCTGGGCTGGAACAAAGCCCCCTGCACGGTGGAAAATGCCTGGAATTTAGAGCTGGTAGGGACCTTAGTGATTGCCTGGGGGGGTCAGAGGACCCCCTTTAAGGCTGTGGGTTGAGAGTATTGGAGGGATGTAGGCATGTGTGAAGGTGTGTGTTTGTGAGGGTATGGGGGGGAGTAAGCAGTGTGTATGTGTGTATCAGAAGGGGTGGGAGTATGGAGCACGTGCAGGGATGTGTGGATGTGAGCAAGTGTAGGAAGTGTGTAACAAGTGTGTTAGTGTACTGCGGGGACATGGAGTGGTGGTCCACGGGAGACTGTGAAAGGGCTGCCCTGTTCTGGCCTGGCCTACACTCTAGGAAATCCCACTGTGCCTCCTGGCTCCTTCTCATCAGCTTCCTATTAGACATGGCAGTCGGGACGATGACCAGGCACCTCAGCAGCTGCTCTAAATCGAGTAAGTCCAGGCCTCAGGCCCCTAATCCCTGCCTCCTGGAACATCCATCTCAGGTCACCAGCTCCATCCTCTAATACCCAACAGGCCTTCGTCAGTCACCCACTCCTGCCACACCCCTCAGAGTGCAGCAGGAAAAGCCCCAGAGCAGGAGTTAGGGGGCCCCTCCCCCAGTCTACATCTGGCCCCTCTGCTGGCTCACTTTATGGTTTTCCGCCAGTCCTTGCCCTGGCTTTCAGCTTCCTTGTCTGTCCTGCCTGCCTATTCAGGGCCGACCCAGGTGCTGGTGGTGGGGATAGGGTGGAGGGCAGGTGGGGGTGGCCAGGGAGTGGGAAGGTGAAAAAAATTACCCAAAGAGAGCAGCTGCTTTAAAATGTTTCTATGTAAGATTTTGCTTGAAAAAGTGACTTCATAGCTTATTAATTAGTATTTAATTTTAATGCAATCCTTTCATGCTAAAGAACGGGAAAAGTAAGACAGGCAACGGAGAGACTTGCCTAAGGCCACATGGTCAGTTGCAGCAGATCTGGGAGGAAACCCCAGTCTTTGGTCTAAGACCACCCTCGGGGAGCAGCTGTTGCTGCCTGAACCTCAGGACCCCACTTGTCCGCCTCACCCCTCCAGCTCTCCCACCAGAGGGGCTAAGGTGCAAGGTGTGTGAGTGCACGTTCTTCTAACCTTTTGCCATCTGGAGCAGGAGCTGAGCTGAACGACTTCGCTGTCTTCACCACCTTTGGGCTGGCCTCAGCCTTGCTCCTAGGAATGGATGGGCCTCTCAGTGGGCTGCTGGCCATCATGTATGTGTTAGCTACTTCTTTCCGCCTGTGCTTTTTCTCAGCTGGTGAGTGGAGTCCAGGAAGCCTTGGGGATGAGGGCGGGGAACCACAGAGGGAGTGGAGCTGTTGGATGCCAGAAGCTGAGGTGCGGTGACTAACTTGTCTCTTTCCTTCCTGGAGCCCGTCTTTCTTCCTTCTCCCGTGCTGCATGCCTGCTGGAGGCGGCGGGCTGCCTCGACAGAGCCCTGGGCTGAGAGGCAGAAACCCTAGGTTCTTGAGCTAGCTCTCCCTTTGTCTCACTGTGTGACCTTTGAATGGAGCACGTCCATTCACAGACTCTAGAACTGGAGGTCCTACCATGAAACAGGTGAAACTGTGCTCAGCAGAGGCCAGTTGCCTTGTCTAAGGTCACAGAGGGAGGGAGTGCAGATACAGCTCAGGCCTTAGACTAGAAGATCTCAAAGACCCTCTTAGCAGAGACTCCTTGGGGCCAGGACACACCCCTGGTCCTAGCTGGCTGCCTGCTTTGCCTTGGAAACCCAATGCAAAATGCACCATTAATGCAACCCAGTGTATCACTTGTGTCTGTGAATTACCAAATGCTTTACAGCCTGCCACCCCCTACCCCTGAGTTTAAGGGAGTTTTGTAGTCTGGGGAGGGGAAGACCCTGAGAGAGTGGCTTGCTTCATTTAAATATACCTTTGAAGCAGTAGAGAGGTCCCTCGGTGGCACAAATGGTGGCTACTAATCAAAAGGTTGATGGTTTGAACCCACCCCGCAGTGCTGCAGAAGAAAGGCCTGGTGATCTGCTTCCATAAAGAAAACCCTATAGAGCTCAGTTCTACTCTGTAACACCTGGAGTTGTCATGATTTGGACTCGATAGTGACAAGTTTAGTTTTTTTTTTTTTTTTTTTTTTTAGAACAATGGGAAGCAGCTAATCCTCATCATTTCTTTCCCTGGCAGGAGTTCCCTTCATATACAAGGGTCTACCCTGCTCCTACGCTTCCTGTGTTTTGGCCTCCACCTCCCTTCTGACCAAAGGCAACACATTCATTCTCTGCTGCGTGGCTTCGCTTATGATTCTATTCATGATGGACCAGACCTACTATCCCCATGAAGAAATCTTGGAGTCTGAGAAATGGAAAAAAATCGTTTATCTGGGGGGTAAGTGCTCTTAAATGTTTCCAGTGGTGGGTTTGTTATCACTGTCACTCAGCGCCACCTTGTACCTCACCCCAGCATTCCCTATTTCACTTACTGTGCTTAATTTTTCTCCAAAGAATTTATTATCATCTGATAAAATATATATTTACTACTTTTCTTATTGTCTATAAGCACTAAACCTACCTCCCCGACAGAAATGTAAGCCCCTTGAGGGCAGGGACTCTTTTATTCATGCTGTAGTCCCCAGTGCCTAGAATTATGCCAATCACATAGTAGTTGCTCAATATTTGTTGAAAATTGTGAGTTGTTCCCATGGAAGTGCTGTGGGCCCATACTCTCCCATCTTCTTTTCGAGTTCTCTGAGGGAGTCTAAGTGTCTAGTTTTTTAAGAGTCAGGCAGACCTGGGTTTGAATCAGGACCTTGTACAAATTACATCCCCTCTGTTTCCTCACCTGAAAAATATGGTTAATTCTAAATCACAGAATTGTCATGAAGTGTAAATGAAATAATATATGTAACATACCTAGCAGCATGTCTCGCACAAGAAATATATTTCACAAATGTTGGTGCCCTTTGCCTTTGGGTAGTGAAACAGGTACAAATTGTGTCAGGAATCCTCAAGATCACTCCCAGGTTTGGTGATTTGGTAGAAAGACTCACAGGACTTAGCATATAGTTGTTCTCATGGCTAAGATTTATTACAGCAAAAGGATACAAAGCAAAATCAGCAAAGGGAAAAGGTACACAGAACAAAGTTCAGAGGAAACCAGACACAAGCTTCCAAAAGTCCTCTCCCAATGGAGTCTGACAGGACGAGCTTAATTCCTCCAGCACTGGATTGTGACAATACATGTGAATTGTTGTCTACCAGAGAAGCTCATTAGAGACTCAGTGCCCCAGGTTTTTATCGAGGCTTGGTCACATAGGCATCCTCTACCTAGCACATACCAGAATTCCAGCCTCCTAGAAGGAAATCAGGTGTCCAGCATACACTTCTTTGTTTGTACAGTCTAGGCACACTGAGCCACTCTTATCAGTTAGGAAAAGTTTTGTATTAGCATAGGGATCTATTTACCATGCACATTCCCAGTCGCCAGCTGAGGGCCAACCAGGCCTTTGTAAGGATAGCAGGCTTAGGCCTGCTTATGTTAACTCTTTTCTGCAACAAATGATACTGTATTGGCCAATAACACATGTTAAACTTGAAATAATTAGGAAGATTTTTTTTTTTCCCTAATAAGGGATCTGGGCAATTCCAATTTATTGTTTAGGACTAATGTCTAATCTGAGTTTGACAATTCAATGGAACCTGATCCCATTATGTTATAAAATTGTCTACTTACTTACCAGCCAGTTGCCATAGAGCCAATTCTGACTCATGGTGACCCCACAGTGTCACAGTAAAACTGTTCATAGGGTCTTCAGTGGCTGATTTTCGGAAGTAGATTACCAGACCTTTCTTTTAAGGTGCCTCTGGGTGGACTTGAACCACCAACCTTTAGATCAACAGTGAGCACTTTAACCATTTTAAAGTGAGCTTCTTAAAGACAGGACTTATGTCTCATTTGTTTTTGTCTCTTAGGCACTGTGAGTAAAAAAGGAAGGATGGAAGGAATGACATGGCACAATGGGGATTGGGAGGGTGGAAAACACATAAGAAAGCTCGTAAAAATTGAGTGTTTGCATGTTTTCTTCTTCCAGGTGTCATCATGCTGTTTTTGTCTCCATTCTCTCTGACTCCTCTTTACTGCCTGCTGTGGTCCGTCTCCTACATCTTCTTTCCAGATTCTCTGTGGGGAAAGACAACCTGTCTCAGGCCACAGCACCGAGGAAACTGAACAGCTCCGCCAACTCCCTCTGGCCTCTGTGGGGTTTATGTCATCATGGTGGGCCAAGCCTTGCCTTACTCTTACTAAATCTTTCCTTGTCTCTGTGATGTGCATGTGCTTTGAACCAGAGCAACCCGCGAGAGGGTGAGTAGACTTCATTACTTTCTCTCTATTCTGCGTTCTGAATCTGTTGGGACAATAATTATTCGTTATATGAGACAAAAATTTTTCCAAGCTACATTGGGAACAAGTTTGAATTCTGGCTCTGTTACTAGCTGGGTAACTTTTTGCATTAAGACTGGAAAGGAATGAAACCCTTTGGAATTGGTATAGCCCCCGGCCCCTGCCTACCAGTGATGGGTGGGGCTTGCTAAAGCAGTTCTTACACTTTCAGACTCTGACTCTGTGGAACACAGCTAATCAGAGGACTTCAGTTGTCCAGTCTGAATGTGTGTACATTTTGTAACTTAACATTTCTGTATTTTAACCATTCAAAACTTCTGCTGTTTGCTTCACTTAGAGATTAGGTACACTGACAGCAGGATGGCTGTTTTTAAAACTTGAAACTATGTTCCAAGGATGAAGATACATTTCTGAAAGAGGATTTCCGTGTTCATTTTGAGCCATAGCAGCAGGGTTAAAATAAATATGTAGACCCCCAAGAAGACTGCTCTGAAAAGGAAAATACCCATTTGGATGTGTAAATTGTGGTTTGTTTGTAACAATAATTACTCATACTTCATTGCCTCTAACTTTTTGTAGATTAGTGACACTAGGAGAGTTAGAGGTCAGCTGAGAGGCTCTGATTTAACAGGGTATGTACTCCTTACAACTATATGGAAGTATGGCCGCTCTGCTACACTGGCTCCGGGGTCTCAGGATGCTAAAGCTAATCATTCAATACCTTTCCTTCCGCGGTCAGATGTTTTCTACAGTAGAATAGCTCTTCTTGGACTTTCTCTTAGGAACAAGTGAGAAGACCCAAGATATTAAAAATGTACTTCTCAGAGGAATAAATGAAGTCAAGGGGTCTAGTTCTTGATTCTAGATAGCTCTGCTAGTCCTAAACTGGGATGGAGTGTAGATTTCCCTCCTGGTTCACACCTAGTCCTGTTACACAACCTATAGTACTACTCCCTGTGTCTGGTGAACGGAAATCAAGTGACTGAGAATTCTTCTACTTTTTTAGCTCTGTGACCTTGAGTAAAAGGCGCAATCTCTCTAAGTCCATTTCCTTATCTGTAAAATGAAATATTTACTTCCTCTCAGGGTTGTTTTGTGGATTAAATGTACTGACACATAAAGCACCTAGTGAATGGTATGTGAAGGGTGTTAAATAAATGTTGGTTCTTTCCTTCTCTTCCCTCTAGCCTCCCTCCCTTCTCATACATGCCTTTACGTTTAAAATAGCAGTAATAATAATAGTTAACAGTTATTTAGCTCTTACTATGTGCTAGGAACTGGTCCTTGCACTTTACTCTCTCACTCCTCAAAACAACCCAATGAGGAAGGTGTCATTAGCGCACCAGAAGCTTAAAGTCAGCAGTTCTCAGAGTGTGGTCTGCAGACTCCTGAGGTTCCTGAGACCCTTTCAGGTTCAAAATCTTTTCTTAATAACCCTGGAACAGGGACTGAAATGTCACTGTATTGACATTAGGGTGCAATTGGTGAGTAAAACTGCTGGCGCCTTGGCATGTATCAAGGCAGTGGCATCAAATGGTACACCTTTTTTAATATTCCATACAGTGAAGTGGAAAGCTGCTTCATACTGAAGTTATGAGAGTTGTCTCGAAGAAAAGCATTTGAGTTTGAGCTGAACTAGCTGCTCTTTTCATGCAACGCACAAAGGACGACAGACAAACTAAGGTTGTTCAGACTTGGGCATTTGGTTTTCTTGAAAATGAACTGAGTGAGCCTATCACTTCAAGAGAAACAAGTTTTTGTTGCCAAGGATAAAAATTTTAGCTTTCAAGTGAAAATTAGAAGTTTGAAAAACTTGTATCTACCACCATGAGCTTGACAGCTTCCCAATACTCAAAAGACTTTTATGATGAGATTGGTGGGGATATTAATGAATGTGTACTTTTGAACTCGTCTAATGAATGTGTCAACATTTGGAAGATCATTGTAGCAATATTTTCTAAATGACCAATGAATGATGCTACAAATCGTGCTTGGATAAAAGATCAATTCAAAGGACAATGGAGTTTTAGTGAAGCAGAGTACAAACAGTTGATATGGCATTAGATTCCATATTGCAACTAACCTTTAAGAAACTACCACTTGCTGAGTTTTGGTGTACTATCAAAGAAGAAAATATGAAATTATCTAAATATTAAAATACCCTTCTCTTTCCCAACTACGTATCTGTGTGATGCTGGATTTTCTTCATTTACTTGAACTAAAATATTATGAGAATCCAGAATGCAGAAGCAGATTGAGAATCCAGCTGTCTGCTATTAAACCAGATATGAAAGAGATTTGCAAAAATGTAAAACAATGCTACCCTTTTCGCTAAATGATTCTTTATTTTGTAAAATAATTATTTTTCATAAAAAACGTTATTTGCTAACTTATAATGTATTTTTGCAATTTTTAATGAATTAATAAATCTTTTAAAACTTTTCATCTTAATTTCTAATACAGCAAATATGATAGACATAGCCCACATAAACATAATTGGGGTCCTCAATTATTTTTAGAGTGTAAAGAGGTCCGGAGACCAAAAAGTTTGAGAATCACAGACTTAGGGATATTAAAACTTGCCTAAAATTCACACAATTAGTAAGCAGTAGACCTCAGTCAAACCCAGGCAGCCTGACTTCCAAAGTAAGTGCTCTCATTATAAATTTTTTGATTCAAGGTTTCACAAATATCTCCTCTCGAATGAAGAAAACCAAAGACACAAGGGAAAGATTAGTCTATAGGACTAATGGACCACAACTACTATAGCCTCCACCAGACTGAGTCCAGCACAACTAGATGATGCCCGGCTACCACCATCAGCTGCCCTTACAGGGATCACAATAGAGGGTCCCAGACAGAGCGGGAGAAAAATGTAGAACAAGATTCTAACTCACAAGAAAAGACCAGACTTACTGGCGTGACAGAGACTAGAGAAACCCAGAGAGTATGGCCCTCTGACACCCTTTTAACTCAGTACTGACGTCACTCCTGAGGTTCACCCTTCAGCCAAAGATGAGACAGGCCCATAAAACAAAACAAGAATAAATGGGCACACCAACCCAGGGGCAAGGACGAGAAGGCAGGAGAGGACAGGAAAGCTGGTAACGGGGAACCCAAGGCTGAGAAAGGGAGAGTGTTGACACATCACAGCGTCGGCAACCAATGTCACAGAACAATATGTGTATTAATTGTTTAATGAGAAACGAATTTGGTCTGTAAACCTTCATCTAAAGCACAGTTAAAAAACAAAACAAAACGAAACAAAATATCTCCTCTTATATCTGAGAAACTGGGAAGGAATCATGTCAAGATTAGGGAATTCCAGGCAGGTACACAAAAATGGTGTGTGCCTAATTTTCATTAATTATGTGTATAAGAGCTTTGGCATTCAATGCTATTCCAATTATGGATGCCAAAGCCTCTAGAGCCCTTATCGTGGTATTTCTCAGAGGTAGAAGATGAAAAGCTTTTTCTCTGAAATGGGAATAAAAAGATGACCCATTCCTATGTTGGTTCAGGAATTTTCTTGTATCTCAAATGTTTTTGACCACAACTCACAGTTAAGAAATAACTTTACATCAAACTCAGTACACACATTCATAAGTGTATATAAGACTGAAGCAAAAGTTTCATGAAATATCCTTACCACATGATATCTTCTTTTTTTAAATTTTTTTTTATTGTGCTTTAGATGAAGGTTTACAGAACAAATAGTTTCTCATTAAACAGTTAGTACACATATTGTTTTAAGACAATGGTTAACAACCACACAACATGTCAAAACTGTCCCTTCTCAACCTTGGGTTCTCTATTACCAGCTTTCCTGCCCCCTCCTGCCTTCCAGTCCTTGTCCCTGGACTGTTGGGCCTCATTTGTCTCGTTTTGTTTTATGGGGGTGTCTAATCTTTGGCTGGATGTTGAACCTTGGGAGTGACCTCATTACTGAGCTAAAAGGGTGTCGGGGGGCAATACTCTCAGGGTTTCTCCAGTCTCTGTCAAGCCAGTAAGTCTGGTCTTTTTCTGTGAGTTAGAATTTTGTTCTACATTTTTCTCCAGCTCTGTCCAGGACCCTCTGTTGTGATCCCGGTCAGAGCAGTCAGTGGTGGTAGCCAGGCACCATCTAGCTATACTGGACTCAGTCTGGTGGAGGCCGTGGTAGCTGTGGTCCATTAGTCCTTTGGACTCATCTTTCCCTTATATCTTGTTTTTTTCATTCTCCGTTGCTGCTGAAGGGGTGAGATGAGTGGAGTATCTTAGATGGCTGCTCACAGGCTTTTAAGACCCCAGACACTACTCACCAAGGTAGAATGTAGAACATTTTCTTTATAAAGTGTGTTATGCCAATTGAGCTAGATGTTCCGCAAGACCATGGTACCTGCAACCGTATGCCCAGCATTCCAGTCCCTCAGGGAGTTTGGATGTGTCTATGGAGCTTCCATAACCTTTCCTCCTACAAGTTGTGCTGGCTTCCCCAGTATTGTGTACTGTCTTACCTTTCACCAAAGTTACCACTCATCTACTGTTTATTTAGCATTCCACCCCCCGATCCCTTGTAACCAACAAAGATTGTTTCTCTGTGTATAAACTTTTTCATGAGTTTTTACAGTAGAGCTCTCATACAGTATTTGTCCTTTTGTGATTGACTTATTTCACTCAGTATAATGTCCTCCAGTTTCATCCATGTTATGAGATGCTTCACAGATTCATCATTGTTCTTTCTCGTTGCATAATACTCCATTGTGTGTATGTACCATAGTTTGTTTATCCATTCATCTGTTGATGGGCATCTAGGTTGTTTCCATCTTTTTGCTATTGTGAACAATGCAGCAACGAACATAGGTGTGCCTATGTCTGTTTGTGTGATGGCTCTTATTTCTCTGGGATATATTCCTAGGAGTGGGGTTGCTGGATCGTACGGTATTTCTATTGCTAGCTTTCTAAAGAAGCGCCATATCATTTTCCAAAATGGTTGTCTCATTTTGCATTCCCACCAGCAGTGCATAAGAATTCTAATCTCCCCGCAGCCTCTCCAACATTTGTTATTTCCATTTTTTTTTTTATCTGTGCCAGTAATGCTGGGGTGAGATGGTATCTCATTGTGGTTTTGATTTGCATTTCTCTAGTGGCTAGTGATCGTGAGCATTTCCTCATGTGTCTGTTAGCTGCTTGAATGTCTTCTTTGGTGAAGTGTCTTCATTTCCTTTGCCCAATTTTAAATTGGATTATTTCTCTTTTTGTTGTAGAGGTGTTGGATTTTCTTGTAGCTTATAGAGATTAGACCTTTGTCTGACTTGTAATGTCCAAAAATTTTTTCCCTGTCTGTAGGTTCTCTTTTTACTCTTTTGGTGAAGTCTTTTGAAGAGCATAGGTGTTTGATTTGTAGAAGATCCCCGTTATCTAGCTTATCTTCTGTAGTTTGTGTGTTGATGGTTATGGTTTGTATCCTGTTCATGCCATGTATTAGGGCCTCTAGCATTGGTCCCATTTTTTCTTGTATGAACTTTGTAGTTTTTGGCTTTATATTTAGGTCTGTGATCCATTTTGAATTAGTTTTTGTATATGGTGTGAGGTATGGGTCCTGTTTCATTTTTTTGCAAATGGATATCCAGTTTTACCAGCACCATTTGTTAAAAAGACTGTCTGTTCCCCATTTGATGGACTTTGGACTCTTGTCGAACATCAGGTGACCGTAGGTGGATGGACTTACATCTGGGTTTTCAATTCTGTTCCATTGGTCAATGTATCTGTCGTTGTACCAGTGCCAGGCTGTTCTGACTACTGTAGCTGTATAGTATGTTCTGAAGTCAGGTAGTGGGAGTCCTCCTATTTTATTCTTCTTCTTCAGTAGTGCTTTACTTATTCAGGGCTTCTTCCCTTTCCATATAAAGTTAATGATTAGTTTCTCCATCTCTTTAAAGAATGTTGTTGGTACTTGGATCGGGATTGCATTGTATTTGTAAATTGCTTTGGGTAGAATTATCATTTTCACAATGTTGAGTCTGCCTATCTATGAGCATGGTATGTTTTTCCATTTATGTAGATCCCTTTGGGTTTCTTGCAGTA